ATTACTAAATAAGAATGAAAGTTCATTTTTACTTTTAGATTCGTTGTCTGTCAATAGATTCGGTGAATTTGAATCAATATATTAAATAAAAATACAATTTTATTTTCAGTTTTTGGATTCATGTGATATCGATAGATCCGGTAAGTTTCAATCACTTTATTAAATTAAAATATTATTTCATTTTATTTTTAGATTCGTTTTATATTTCAATGCATCATATGAGTTTATTATAACTACAAAATGAAAATGAAGTATCGCTTTTACTTTTAGATTCGTTCTATATCTCAATATATCTGGCGAGTTTATTCCAATTGCTAAATGAACATGAAATTTTATTTTTATTTTTAGATCCATTTAATATCGATCCAGTAAGTTTGAATCAATTTTTTAAATTAAAGTTTCAGTTTTATTTTTAGACTCGTGTGATATCGAAAGATCCGGTGAGTTTGAAGCAATGCATTAAATAAAAATATAATTTTATTTTCATTTTTAGATTCTTTTTATATCCATAGATCTGGTGAGTTGGAAAGAATTCTCTAAATTAAAAAAAACAGTTTCATTTTTATTTGTAGATTCGTTTTATATCTTAGTACATGTGGGAAGTTTGCTCAAATTATTGTACGAAAATGAAATTTTATTTTCATCCTTAGACTCGTTTTCTCTGAAAAGTTCGGATGAGTTTGAATCAAATTAGTAAAGTAAAATATAATTTTATTTTTATTTTTAGATGATTGTCGTAGGGAAACGTTTGGTGAGCTATGAAATTCGTTCATTAACTACTTCGGTTGAATTGTGTTTTACATGAAATGGGTGATTATTAGTTCGGATGGGTTTATATGTGAAGAAAACTGGTGAGTTTAGATGATTTTTCGACAAAAAATTGGTGTGTTTCTTCATTTTTTAGGTGGAGAAGGTCGCAATGTTCAGCTTCGTGATGGTTTGGTACTGGTGCGACGAAGTGCGTCTGGATAACTAAAGTTTGTCTCTGAATACTATGTGTTGCCGACCTTTAATGACTGTTCTAGTTATTTCTGGGTACGGATAGGTTCACAGCAGAGCCTGATTGGACGTATGTGGCCGCTGTGAATGCTTGTTCCTGGTGGCAGAGAAGTGATGGATTCCTGTCTAGTCTAGTTTAGTAGAGCTTTACCGGCATTCGGAAACCTTTTCTTTGAGTTTCCGAAGAGGTATTTGAGATTTAGCTATAATGGGTACTATGGGTTTTCGAGAACTCGGAAACCCTTCTTCGGAAACCCTTAAAGGGTTTCCTATAGTAACAAACTCGGAAACCCTCTAAGGATTTTCGAGAATACCTATTTTTTTTAGAGTGTAGTTCTTCCGCATGCGCTATTCTTCTTGAATTACGACCGTTTTGCTGTATTTTCTGTCTCAGTCAAGACTTACATAAAAGCATACAGTTATAAAGCTATGCCCATAGAGAGACCTTATGGTCAGTAGAATATTTTGAAAATTTTAGGTCAAAACTATCTCGTGAATTGGTAACCATGTGAGTCGGTAGGATATGGTTGTAGATGTCGATGTCAATATGAAGAAGAAAACACTCACATCCACACCCAAGATCTTCAATAATTATGTTCAACTTTCATGTTTGACACTACTAGTAACCTATTTCTTTACTTTAATATAACAACAACAAAAAAATTCTTTTTGTTCATAGAGTGAAAATATCAAAACCAAATATAGAACGTTGAATTAAAACAATCAGCATAAAATCGAGATTTAACAAATTTCATATCTGTATTTTGATTGAGCCAATGTTGAACATCGTTATCATCCGTAATAAAATTTGATTTGTGATTGAAGTTAGTCGAGAAATTTATTAATTGAGGCCAAAAACGGCCATTTCCATTAATATTTTCATCNACGGTTACTCTAATGGAGCGGAGCGAAATAACAAACCTTAAGTTGGCCACTTGTAAAGACGAATAAAAAAAAAGAATATGCGACTATATTAACGTGTTGATCCTCGCTTTTCTGTTCTAGCCGTCGTCGTCGTCGCTGTCGTGACTTGCATGCATATTATTTTTCTTTTCTCTTCGCAATTTCATACTTCATAATGTTAAAATTCTGTAGAACATGCCCACGTGTAACGATTTGACGATGAATATAATGACTCTCAATAATTTAACATATGCAATATTTTGTCATTTTCATAACTTCTTTTTTCGTATTTATTTAATAAAAATTAAGATATATGGAAGACTGTAAAAGTGTTTTTCAAGGAAGATCATCTTTTGAATAAAAATATCTAATTTCATCATATTTTCAGACAACAAATTGGAGCAATAACTAATAACCCATATTTCCATTTTTTGTACTACAATTTTGTTCATGATATACATTGAGATAACAGCTTCGTTAATCCACACTAATTCATAAAAATTAGAATACTTAACTTTTATTGAAAACGAGATATGGGTAAGTTAGAATGCAACAGCTTCAATGAAGATGTGAAGGGTAAACAATGGAGTCTCCATAGAAATAAGCATGCTGAAATGGAACAAGTCGCAAAGTCCAATAAAAATTTATTGACATAACATACAATCCGTAAACATCTGAATAAAGAAAGAATGAATACAAATGTGAATAAGTGCTCGAGTTCCTTCAATCATCATTAAAATAAAAGCTTATTCAGTTTACTGATTGTTTTAGACTAAAACAAAATTATATTTTAAAGAAACATTATCTTTATTTAAACAAATAGCGAATAACTGAGTGGTTCTTTATTAATTATGTATTTTCAATATATTTGAATATTTTTGTGCAGTCTCGTGAATCGAAATATTTCTCGAAACTAAAGAAATACTGTAAAATATAAGGTATGCTACATTTACTCTATGAAAATAAAACATCGTTTAAAATGATAGCCAAAGGCTCTTATAAGAAAAAAAAATCTGATTGAAATAAATAGTAAAAAAAAACTCATAAAATTCATATTATGTTTGTTCAAGGCATTGCTCGATCGTCCTTTTACTTTGCGAACTAACACATAAAAATGATTCATTAAAAAAAAATTAAGCAAAACTTCTTTCTTCTCTTTTCTCCTCTATGAAATTGCATATACTCTCTTCTCATCCGTTTTGTCTAAATCATAGTTTCACTCATTTATTGAATGACATAGAATTTGTCATCGCAGTGATTAAGACAAAATAACTTGTTGTAAAAAGGATGCAAAATTTTTATATTCTTTACTGCTATCATATCCATATAGGATGCTTGCTCACACTAGTGTCAAGATATCGTAGTACTCATACGAACCGGTGGTAGGGCTTACGACTTTCGGTTTCAACTGTAAACTATTGCAGAGTTCAAATTAATCAAAAAGAAAACAGTTTCAGAATATATTTTAATAATAAATATTTTTGCAGCGCCATCTATAATAAAAATCGTGGCTCAAACGCAGCAATACTGTCAGAGTGCATCGAAAACCAGTTAATTCTGTCAATTTTAACAGACTTCAAAACTATTCACTCGTTTCGATACAATATACCATGATAAAACACTTTCAAAAAGAAAAAGCAACTGTTCGCATAGCGCACATTATACTGGCTGGTAGTTATCACATGAGTGCTTACCACTTTTGTTTTTTTTTGTCTGGTGTTTTCGAAGGAACCAACATAAAGCTTTCGCAAATCAGAAGACTGGTCTCATAGCTTTTCCTATATTATGATATAGCTATCAACTATTACCGTTCCAAATATCAATTTAAATAAAACTTTATCAAGCACCTGTGACATGTATAATATGACAATAGTTGATCTGATAAATCGATACCTTAACTTTTTTTGTTTGTAATCTAATACAGCTTTTGAGTTTATAATAGATTCAGTTACTTTACTCTTTTTTCAAAATTCATCATAGTTACTCAATGTTGTGGTTTTGTGTCTATCATCAAAATGATCATTTTTATGATGCATCATAATCGATCATTCTAATGATAATCGTTCGTAAGTCATTTACCATCATCAAAAGACTATTGTATACGATATTATACCTGATAAAAAGTCAGTAACATTTAATTTCAAATACATAGATAATACTGAATAAAATCAATTTCAATTTTATCAATTAATAAAAGAAATATTCTACAATCATTTATTGAAAAAAAAATCGTTATTACATTATCATGATGCATTTGAAATTCTACATCGGTTTATTAACGTAACTATACCTGATTTAAATGTGCGAGATCGAGTCCTCTTATTATAATCGCATTAGTAAACATATAGATTCACCAATATGTGGGTATTTATAACAATAATAAAGTATTTTCTATGTATAGAAAATTACGGAACCATAAACAATAGTCACGACTATGGATGTTATAAACGATTGTATGTGTCATCGTTTTTTTAATCCCGTACTTCAATCGTGGGATGTAATTATCGTCACGATTATATTATTCACTATTGTTTCATGGACTTCGTCTTGTGTCTTTTTCTATTTTTCGTTTCGATACGACGTAATTAATGTTTTTGATCGAAGGAAAAAAAATTAATGCAGCACGTATAGGGTATTAGGACACCATGTTTATTTCAAACCTTATGTGCTTTTTTTTAAAATGAGATTGTATTGTGTAATAATGTTCGTGAATAGTTTAGTTTTTTATTTATCAAAACATTCTTTATCACATAAAAACAAATAGAATGAAAGTGCAAACCCAACAATAAGTTATACAAAGAGAATGATCTTACACAATTCAAAACAATCTTTCATATCCAAAAGTCAATCTTTTAAAGTGCAATAATGACTTACTTGGATGATCAAAGCTCTCTCTATCGATCTATAGATTTTTTTTTTATGAAATTATTATACACGAAAAAGAAAAACCTTTCTCTGATTTAATATACATTCATATGAATCTATAACTATATATCATGATGATGCGAAATATATCAACGATAAAATTTTATTCACATTAGAGTTGTATGGAAAAAAAAATACAAAAAGAAAATTTATCATAAATAATCTATTTGCATCTATTTCCAATATAAGAAAAATTTATTACCTATACGTTGAATTTTAAATTTATCAATGATTGTCTCCAGTTCAATTGTCATTGCTAAATTTTTTATCATGTTTTCGTTTGCATTAGGAACATTTAGACATAAAAAACAAAGATTAGGAATATGTGTCATTTGATTTATTAAAATAAATGTCATGAACGTGCTAAGATCTGCATTTGACATGCAATCCACTTCGAAATATTGCATACGTGGACAAAGATTAATAAGAAATTGAATTTGTTTTTTTTCAGTAATTTTATCAAGTTTGACTTTTGTAATTTTATTAATGATTGATATTAAAATATATTTTTTTATATCTTCAAAAGATAAAACTGTTGATTGAAGCATTGACAAAGATGATATTTTCAATGATTCAAGATTAGGTAATAGACGTAGAATTTCGATTAACATACTAATACACATATTATTATTATTAATATTTAAATGAGTAAATCTAATTGCAATAAAAGTAGCCTTCAATTTGTTGATGTTTAATTGAAATCGTTCGGTCAAAATATAATCTTCGACAGTCATTTGAATGAAACAATTATTAGTCGTGTTTTGATTAAAAATATCATCATTATTTTGTATGAATTTGAGTTTAAAATATGTATCATTGCCTATATATTCATAGAAATTAAACCATTCTTTTCTGAAGAAGAAAAAAACATAATAAATTAATTACTATAAAAATTCGTTTTTTCTATGTATCACTTGTATGGCTGAATCAAGAAAATTATGTCTCCTCGATCAATTTTTAGTTGACAAAACCATTTTTGTTCAAGCCAAAATGATGAAGTAAATTGATTAATGAATTCATGACCTGAACTTATATTCAAAATATCATCAATATATTGATCGTAAGTAAAATGAAATTTTTTTAATTGTGGCATATACTTTTTTATCAATTGTTCCCATCGATTAGCATCAAGATAAGACATATTCCAAGATATAGAAATATACAATACTTTTAATTGAAATGATATTTCTTTGAAGAACATTTCAAAATCATCAAATTCAACTTGACATTCACCAATAGAAATATATGTTAAATGAGATAATGTTGTTGATTGATTTTTTTTAACATTTTCATCAGATTCAACCAATCGCTCACATCTCAGATGGCAAAGTCGGGGTGTATGACAAAGTAAATAATCAAGTTGATTTAATGTACAACTGTAATCAATAATTAAATATTCAATAGTACTAAATCTTTCATTGAGAATAATTGGCATCTCAATAAATAATTCTTCATAACCAAATAATGACATTTTATTATATTTTAATTTAGATAAAGAAAAAATTAATCGATAAGTATCACCGAGATTATAATAATAATCTTCTTCCATATCGATAGTCAGTGAAAAGAGACGAGGTAGAGAATTTAAATAGAAGAGCATTGTTAAAAGTTGTCGATCTGTTAGTTCTTGAAGAATAACTGATTCAAGACGATTAAATGATGAATTAATAGTACAATATTGAAAAAATTGATCAATAACTAATTCACTTCTTAAATTAAATGAAATAATACGATGTATATTTGGAATGATTAGATGTTGACAATATTCTTCAATTATTGATTTTGATTTTGCACAAAAATTAATTTTAAGTGGAAATGATGAACGAAATATAAGATTTTGAAAACGAATATTAAGATTTGAAAATGCTTTATATAAATCACAACTATCAAGATAATCAAAAATTTCATAGAAAATTTCATTTGATAAATTTTCCAAATAGATTTTTAATGAGCTAAAACAAAAAGAAAAATTAATAACAAGTTTATATTTTTGCTTACTCGTCTTTCTCAAGTTTTACTAAAATAAAGTACGACAATAAAAAACAATTTGCCAAATATCAATAATACTTACTTCGCGACTTTTTTATTTGCAAATCAATAGATTCGGCAAAATTATGTTGTTGTTTGATCCGCTTCATATTGATTTATTCAAATAAATAAAATCTACAAAAATTTCGTGAACTACATCTTATTGTAAAGGAGAATTTTAGCTTTGCTAATCATCATTTACTCTATTAGAAATTTACTTGAATCAAACAGAACAGAATTTAGTCATGTATGCTCGAGACGTGTGTTACACTCAACGATAAAAAAGAAAAAGACATACTATATTCTTTCTTCCTTCACATGGTGTTTCTCTGTCAATCCTCTTACATTCAATTGGAAAAAAAAATGAATACTTTGTGAGTCATTCAATAAAAGGCAGAAGTCAAGAACCAGTTGAAATATATTTTCAATGTCAAACCTATAAAAATCAATTGAAAAATTAAAGAAAATCAGTTGTAAACAATTGCATAAGAATCCTACAGAGATGGTAAGTTTATTGTCATGACTTTCAATAATTTTGTACAAGTGACAAGAACTGAAAATTTGGCGCGTAGTTTGTAGACAAGAATGTTAAAAGTAATGGGGACTAATACTTTCTAATTGAGACTTATGACTTTGATTGGCTTATATTATCGTATATTGATAATATAAATTTTGCTCTTAAATCATATTGAATAACGAAATTTTTTTCTGTTATTTTTAAAATACGATTAAATTTTTTGAGTGTTACAAAAAATGATTTGATGTTCATGATCTTGGTAAAAACGTAAATAAATATTTTCTTTATCTCATTAGAATTAAAATTAAGTAGTACAATAGTAATCAATATGTACATAAGTTCAACACGACAGATTTAACAATCTAAAGTAATAATTTAAATTTACACTTTAAATAGTTTCCTTTATGTACTTAAATTTATTACTGAAGATATGCAACCGATAAGTATCTTATCAGTGGTATTTGCATATATTGTAAGAGAAAGATACGTATATTATAATATTCATCGCTATTGTGTTGATGCCAACAGATAAATATAACATGAACGAGTATTTTATTTCAAAAAATCAGTTTAAAACAAGATAATTATGTGTCTCTCGAATAATTTTATTTTAGAAAGAATTTTGAGAAAAAATCACATTACTTTGAGATAGAATATGGATCTTTTAAATGACTATATTTGCTTAAAATATGGATGAATTCCGATCGGAAATGATATTAAAACAAAACCATGTTCGAATTTTTATGATACATTTAAATTTATGTTCTTTATCTATACATCTAAACCAGTACGTACTTTTCAATAGTGTCATAATATAAAATAATGATATATTTTACTGCATACACAAAAACAATTATCGGTTGCGGCTTTTCGGCGAAAATGAAGTGTTCCCACGCTACAACACATCTATACAAGGTTAGTTACGCAGGCAAATCTTTTTTTTAATTCTTGAGTAAATGAATTCGACTTTGAAGTTTGACATGTGTAACACATTCGGGAGTATACAAAGGACGTACAGCAGAAAAACGTATAGAAAAAGATGTAAAAAAAGGATGTATCGATTTAGAACTATACATAAGACAGATCGTAAGTATGCTTTTTTATTTTTGATTTAGCGGTATTTTGCATTTCTCGAAAAACGGCTCTAAATGAATTATATTGATAAATATTAGTGATTGAATAAAAATCTGAATGAATAAAATATGTTTTGATTGTGATTATTGTTTTTTTTTCAATGCTAATTAAGAAAAAACAAAACATCCGTAAAACAAAATTAAAACGAAGTGTAGAAAATGAAGTTTATGAGAAAAATATTTCTATGGTAGAATAAAGATGAACATTTTCTTATATCAAGCAGACAAATAGAAAGAATTATTTAAATTTTGTTTAGTCAATTCAAAAAAAGAAAGCTGATCTCTTTTTTATAGCCTTGAAAATCTATATATTGACCTGAATATTAGTCTTAGACTGATTTAGTATGTTATCATTTGTCACTGCTACAGTTGTTTTTAAAATACTGATTCAACTAGCGATGGAGCCAGAACACTAGTACTTCTCTTGTTTTGGAAGGGCAGTGGCTGATAGTGCCCTCGCTACATATGTCTTTCCATGTCATCAAAGTTGTGTTACTTTTGGCGATTTTTCCACAAATCTTAACAGTAAATATTACTCTATTAAAAAGCACATTTTGTTTGCAATATTTATTGCGGATGGGTAGAAAGAAATCCTCCCTTTCCTCATTCACGGAAAACATATATGAACACGATGGTACACGCGTCAATACGTAGCCATAGTCATAGAACCAAATATTACGATCAGACCAGCTCATCGGAAATATTACAGGGTAGTCTATCAATAGCACTACGATAAAAGAAATGAAATTAGTTCGACATTGGTCTAATTAAATGGGTTGGTGTTTTGGTTAGTAGTAGAAGTTCATTCAAAGCTTTTTCCATGCATATAAGGTAAGCAAATACTACTGTTAAGTACTAATGTTGGTATCGTGAAAGCAATTTTACCTGTTATCAACATAAAAAAACACTTGTGTAGCGTTTTATAAATAAATTTCAGTTATCATGTAAAAAAATAATAATAAGAACAAGTTAAAAAGAACTTTACGAATAATTCTGTATTGATGTACATAGAGCAAGCTTTCAAACCTAGTCCGTCCAAATATTGAAATTTGTGTCCTATAAATAAAACACATAATTGCAGTCCTTTGATTACCACAATACCAACTTTCTTGCAAAAACCAGTATTCCATGTTTGAAAGTTCGAAATTTTGTAATTATGGTGTTTAAACTAGCTAGTTTTAAAAATTTGCTCGAGCTGTATCAATACAGATTCATTTGAAGACCTCGTTTTGACTTTTTCTTATTGTTCTCCTAGATAACAAATGAAAATTATCTATGAAACGTTACGCTTGTATTTTGCTTAATTGATAACAGGTGAAATTGCTTTCATCAGAGGCAACAATAATACTTAACAGGAGTATTCGTTTATCTTATCCATAGGGACAAAAACTTTGAATAAATATTTACTACTAACCAAAAAATTAACTCGTTTGATTAAACCGATGCGGAAAAATGTCATTTTTTTATTATAGTGCTATTTAAGAGCCACTCCATATTTGAATGATTGCGATCAAATCACCGATTTTGGCACGATTTCGATGACATAGGATGCTATTAAGAATAGATGGTGATAACAGAGTAGCAGCATTCTTCACTTTCCTTCCCAGAACATTAGAGAAGCTAGTACTAATTTCTCCGTTAGCTATTCTATTGGTGATTTGTGTTTTAGCTTCAGCACTAGATTCAACATGCTATAATTGTTCTTATTCGAATTGGATCATTGTTGATTATTTTATTCTTGAACGTATGTTAAACATACTCAGAAATTTTAGTGTATTTGACAGTTAGAATCCAATTTACTATGCTATTATTTTTTACATGCCTATAGATCCTTGGATTAAGGTCCATGAGAACAAAAAAGTTAGGGTGCACGTAGATGTAGCTGCTTGGAAGGATGAAGAGAAGAACAAGGCTCAGATCCGCACTGAGTCACTCAATAGAGGTCCACTAAATACTCAAATGATTGGTAGTGGTTATACTTGTTGTTTAAGGGGATGTGTCATTGTTGTACTTAAAATGCTTATATTAGAAATCAAATAAGCAGCAAAATCCTGATTATAGAATAACATGATAGAAATAATAAAAAATTCACTGTGAATTTCACAGCAACTAAATCACTTGAACATAAAGTGTGTTTGAACGAATAGAATCGCTGCGCTCCGCTTGCAATCTTTTTCAACCACTTTTCGTGAAGATAATGTTCACGTTTCTATTTGAGTCTATTTTATATAAATCCAGTTTAGCATCTAGGAATGGTACACCTGTGAAGCCATCTATGACAGTGAACATTATCTTCGAGCCACGATGCGCAGTCAAAAGTTCCGTGAGCTTGAGAACGAATTTTTTGCAGAATGCATCGAAGGCGAAAAGAACTTCATCGTTGAACTGAACACTCCAGAATTGTGTGGCTGTTTGTTGCTCTTTGTTAATATGCGCAATGAAGAATTAATCATATTGGCTGTAGAATATGCCGTTCCAAGTGAAATGGTCACGATCGGCAGCGTCAGCAAGAGCACTTGTAGAAATCGGTCCAGGCGTTGGATTGCTGTTCAAATTCGTACTGTCGAAATGATGTATCCTGCCTGAATCGGTCGTAACATTGCGTCCAAGTGTAAAAATTGTTGACTCCTGTATCAGAAAAGAAGAACCAAAAAAAAAGCGATAGAAAAATTTGTTGGATCAGAGTACAATAATAAACGTAGATGGTGTTGTTCTAGCCTTCGATCCGAATTTTGATAGTAGTTCCAAGATCAGCATCCATCATGAAAAACAAGACACAAGATACGATGAGAATAAGTAATAAAATTTGAGTGATCAATGTTCTTGTTGTGATGATCTAAAAGACAAAATAAACATATATGTGAAGATGTCTGATCTGCTTCTCGTTATTGTAAGAATATTAGCATGCGTTTTGTTCTTGTGTGTGCAGAAAATCGAGAGAGAAAATGTTCTTTTAAATAATGAGATGTTGTTATCATTTCTCAATACGATATGTATTCCGTTTTTATATCCTTTCGCTTCTTCTATACTCTGAATAACATTCAACGAATCATAGTATAGATGATCTTACTCATGTATAAAGTCATTGAAATATGATATTAGATATAGGAAAGAAAGAGATATAGAAGGATCCAAATAGATGTACGATTCGTTCTTACGCAGTAGAGCATGTTGCTGATCGTTATGATTGTTGAAAATTCTACGCTAAAATTCATCAGGAATAACTCTGCTATTCAGTCTATAGTAAAAGAAGAAAGATTCACAGTTGAGTTAACGGGATCGAATACATACAAAATATAGCACAAGTAGAAGAAACTCAATTGTACATGTAAACATACACAATAAACAGCAAATAATGTGTATACTCTTTCAGCAACTGAAGCAGATTAATCATTCATATTATCAATGCAACCATGTTTCTTTGCAAGGGTTTAGTCAACGGAATTAATCGAACGGAAGGAATGAATGCATGATTTATTAGCTTGCTGTATTTATATCAAAAACTACACAATATAGAACGTTTAGCATAAGGGCCTGCTCATGATGAAAAAAAGTTGTCTTGTTATTCTACAAGCATTACGATATAGATGTCAAGATTGAATAACTCTAATTAGTCGAGTGGGTATAAATTTATGCTAAGAGAAGAACTTCGCTCACACTCAGAACTTAAAATAATAATGAGTAAAATACAATAGAATAATCTATTAAAAACAAAAATAATTGACTGTAGAAAAACAACTTGAAACTATTCGTTACCATATATTTTAATAAAACTGTGAATGATCAATGATATTGTTTAATTAGAAGAAATTTCAGACCTGTCAAAGAAGTTGTGTATTCATGTTGCTAAAACACAAGCGAATTTTAACAATATGAATATGAAGCGAGTCTTATTCCTAAAAACAATAATTGTACGTCAGGTCAATAATGTCACTGTTGTCTAACCATAGACAATCCTTACTTGTTTTCGTGTATCGTTCGTATACAGCGTATGCCTCTTATCCACAACAATATACACCATGCTCTTAATAATAACTGATCATATGCTCCTGCTTTATTTGTAGAGTGTGTTATAGTATGTATAATTTGAAAGTGATAACATTTAAATTTAGTATAGACTATTCAACATAATGCGAGAATAGCTGGCTAGAATAAGAAAACGAAAATTATTGTTTTGAATATGTTGATGCGTCACATACGTACGTATATTCAGTTATAATTTTTGCAATAACCTGACCTATATTATTGATTTCTTTTCAATGTCGTGAAAATCGCTTAAAAATCTACGATTTTATCGTAATATTCTTGCCCTATTTATTTTGAGAGAATATCGCAACGGCATCGTCCAAACAAAAGATTTTTTTGTGATTTCTTTTCGATTTTTATTGAAAAACGGTAATTTATTAAAAATTTCTACGAAATCAAACAAATGTAGAAGTTTTTATTTGAAAGTTAATAATTTTCATTTGTCATTTATGATGATCCTAACGAATTACATCGTGCTATTAGCACATGATGTTATTACATTTAATTATCTTAAATAACAATGGATTTATCAGTTATAAGATTTATGTTTATGATGTTAATGCTTATGATCTTATTACTTATAATATTACAAAGAAAATACAGTTTTCTCTTTGTTTGTTTTGTGTTGTAACATCAGTTTAAATGTTCTGGTATTTGCTTGAAAATGATCGAATAAGATCGAAAATTCTCATATTAATAAAACATTTTCCATTAAAAACTTTTAAATTTGTTTGATTTATTAGAAATTGAATTAAATCTAATGTACTATTGCTTTCATACATTAATACTAATAATTTTTATTCTACGTCAAACACTGCAATATTTGTACTGACTAACGACTATCATCAGTTTGATATATAACAAATTTCATGTACATGGAAATGACAATCATAAAGTTTTTCAACCTATATTGAAGTAATAAAACCAGAATATTGCATGATATGTGCCAAATACTATTGTTATTTAATACAATATCCAAATCATACTCGAAGTTCAGTTATATGTTTCCATTTACTCGAAATCTTGCTCTTTTCGTCTTCCGACTTAAAGTAGTTCGGTAGCTTCTGGAAGAATTTAGCGTTCATAAATCGGATCGTCCTGGAGGATAACCAACAGAGATGTCTATGCACATAACTGCACGAAACTTTTCCTCAATAGTGGAAAGCTCTATGGATGGCCGAAGATCTTGCGTGTAGCGACACGGCTCGTAGTTCAAAGTGGAAAATAAAAACGAGCTACGAGTGCAGAAAAGCAATGTTGGGTTATGTGTAGTGACCTCTTTCGAGACCTATGATATATTGAAATACTTCTAATAAAAAGTATATTATAAATGGTGAAGCCCATTGGTTGTTAGGACTTTCAGCAATAGAAAAGAACACTCTAACTTTCAGACGCTCAAGCTTTTTTATTTACTGTAATGAGAGGTATTTTTTCATTAAATACATTCAAGTTTCTTACTAAAAATGACCTCGTCGCGTACGAGTTAAGCTATTCACTTATCTACTATAGATCTATAAATACTCTTGTTATATAGACTGACATGTCAATTTCCATGGCGGGAATATGAGAGTATACAATATCAAAAAAAAAGTCGATTGAAGCTGCTTGTATAACTGAAAAAATCATAGATTCCATCAGTTCAGTCTAGAACAGTAGAAATACACTCATATTTTATCATATACAATTGTCTGTAGATAAGAAGGGAATGCAGTTTCCTTTTAGTTCATCTTTATTTTCATCCTCTTTTCTCAAAAGTTAAAAAACTGTAAAATTCTCGTTTCGTTGTTACAATGATGAAGCTGTTCTTATTTGAGCTTGTTTGCGTTTGTTTCATCAGTGCAACTCTTTTCTACATAGTTCTTTCTTGATATGTCTGGCAAATTACCATTGTGACATTGCTGGAATGAGAAACGCATACAGTGTGCCCACAATTATAATATGTTTTTCGAACTTTTTGTCTATGCCGTGATGAATACAAATAATATTTTGTTTTTGCTCGATTCAAATTAGTGTTTTCACTAAAATCTTGCATTCTATTCGAAGAAACATGATAATCGAGAGCCAGTAAAGTACATTTAACTTTTGGCGGTTTCAGCAAGATCAAAAATGATACCCATAATACGATTGTTGTTATGGGATCCATGCAGACTCGCAGCTGCGTTTTTTCCCTATCAGACCTTTATTCACAATGTCTGATAAGGATATTATACAATGACAAGAGACTAGATATTAGAGAACAGAAATAATCCAAAGCAACAAGTGTTAACGTTGTTCTACACGAAAAAGTGTGAAGTGGATCCACTTGGATTCCACAACAGCGACGAATGGTTAAGCAAGGTCATATTGAAATACTCGATTCAATGAATTCATTTACATAGTATTTGAAAGTTGTGGAATTCTATAATAATATTGATAGTAACTATAGAAATTTATGGATCAGATGTGTGAGCATTGTAATGGAAGTAAAAAATTCATTAAAATGTTTCAAAAAATCTCATTAAAGTTATAGATCTAATGTAAAAATGATGAAAGTTTCATACTCAGTAGGAAATATGTTTCAGTATGATTGTTGATGTACTAATTAAATAAACAATTTTGTACACTAGAAAATGCTGTAACATTTCTATTAAGTTTTTATTTGAGAATATCGATTTCATATGAAATTCAATTACATTTTTCCCTCAAAAATGTTTGCAGTCATATTGATATTGGCGAAAAATATTCTCGTATTGACTGAGAATAAATGAATGTCATACATTTTAGCACAGTCAAAATAGACTAGTTTTTCATGTAGCTTAGGAAACGGACAGAGCAATAAATCNGGTGTGGGTGTGGGTATCATCATCTCAATTCACACTTACACCCACCCCCACACCCACCCACACTCACTCCCACACCCACACTCACACCCACACCCACACTCACACCCACACCCACGCCCAAGATCTACTCTTAAGCGATGCTAATAGCTTAAAAAAGCTGAGAAAAAAACAATATTTTTAGCATATTTGTATATTTTTTAGGTTGGGGTCAGAAATGACCCAGGCCGGTACTGCAAGGGTTAAATCCTCACATCAGCTCTGACATATAGAACCTACATTTTTTTGGTGTAGAAGATATTTGAGAGTGTACCATCGTATCGTTGTTGCTTACTCTACAAAGCAATGTCTAAGAAATTCAGTTACATTCCAGTATCGCAAACGTCATTATGTGAGCGCCAACGCTTGTCGATTCAACGTTACTTCACCTATATATTGACTTTGTGTGATTTTTTTTTGCAAGTTGAAAAAAACCCATCGATGACAGCCAACAAAGTGCGTCATTCTGTGCTTTCTTATCAAATATTTGCTATGCAAGTGAAGATCGCTATTCAAGTATGTTATGTGTGAGGACATCGACTTTCCGCCAAAAAAATAACAAGAACTTGTGTGCCAATCAACTTTTGTTTTTCTCTCTGCGGATGATTTTTGCGACGCAAATAACATACTGTATTATTGCCAAAAAATAAGAGAAGGATTCGTGGTGTTTTGTCCAGCCTTTTCGAACACATAAAGTATTCATTGTAGACTTGACCAATTTATGCTCGAACAACGTCGAAATAAAAATTTAGAAAAGGTCATTTTCAAGCAAAACTATACAAATTTTTGTGAAGAGAGTGTGAGGGAACGAAACTCAGTAATTTTGATGTCGACCTGCTAGGATTCTAGTCTGTAATCGACTTACTAATGCACTAAAATGAAATGAATTGGTCGAAAGCAGACTGCGAAATAAAATTCAAATAAAAACAGGATACAAGTGAAAACAATGACAAGGTCAAAAGGACTCTAAACTTTAAAAATTAAAATAAGAATAAAACACTATCTATCTTGAAGATGAACTTGAGGAGATACACCATCATTTATAGCACCTGCAATCATCACTTCGCCGTTTCATGTAATTGATAAGTTTTTGAGTTAACAGCAAGAAACATGTATTACATACTGTGAACGGAATATAAAAATGAAGAATCCGACTAGTTGAATGTAAAAACCAAAAGAGGAATGAAGACATAAGATATCAATTAATTGTAAGAATATCGTGAGACTGAACTGTCAATCATAGATATTCTCAGAAGGACTGTTAAAAGCTAACCGCTATATCACTTACAATTGTCTGCACATAATAGTTGTGAAATTATCTCTAAGCCAGTCTGTCTGATTGAGAATGTTCCTTTCGGCATTGATTTGGCAGTCATCAAGAGAACAAACTGAAGAGAAAAGGACGAAATCAATGCTATTTGTTGCGAATTTGCAGAAACTAAATCGGCTTCTATTCAATGTTCTATTACCGACACGACATGCGATCACACGAAGCGAACTTCTGTCCGATGAAATCTGAGATGATCTTGACAACAATTTGAACTGGATTCCACATGGTCGATTCATTTCAAATCAAAGATTTAGTCAGGAGATGACTTGGAGACCAGTCTTCCCTCCGTTTCACAAAAAAAATTGTAGGAGTCGAATAGATACTAAGTCAAAACTATCTGAGGAGACGCTTAAGCACAGTCGAAATCGGATCACGGTGTGCTTGTTGACTCGCCTCTGTTATACACTTATCTATCACTTTCTTTGGAAAATTGTATAGATCAATTGGATATGAATGTTTTGTTTATGATCTTCGGATCATTAGAACAGAATCTGTAAAGTCTGATGAGATCCTTAAGCAATGTCGAAACCGGTCACAGCACGCTCACCCTAATATAACGTTATCTATCTACTTCGTCGGAAGGCAGTATAGATTAGTTGGTTATAGAGGTCCTGTTTGTGATCGAATCTGATCATTAGAACAGAATCAATATACACAACTGACAAAGCCATTCGATGAGACCCTTCAGCAAGGTCGAAACCGGTCACGGCATGCTCACCCCATTTTCGAATTTTCAATTGTTCGAAGTCTACTTTCTGGAGATCGTTTAGTTTGCAGTACTGACATAATTAGTCGTTTTTTTTTCACAATTAATATCTGAAAAGTTCTTAGATTTCTCTCTCCGAAGTACATGTATATTTGTGAGATAGATAAAGAAATTTTCTTGACTTTTTAAATATTTTAAGCAATGAGTTATAATAAGAAAAAGTTGTCGATGTTGTATCGTCCAACATATTATTTTCTAGTTTGTCCCTGAAATATAAAAAAGATATTCTTTTTCTGGAAAAGATCGAAGCAGTAAACAGACTTCTGTTTAACAATAGTTGCTGCTGATCCTGGAGTTGCTCTTCGTATCGTTCAATTTGTTTGATATTCTGACTGGAGAATTCTGTCTTTTGTTGGTATGCTGAATTTCTAATGGTCATCTTCGTTTGTTGAACGTCAACTGCCAAACGATTAATACTGGTACGTTGCGTAGTCAATCGATTTTGAGTCTTTTCCAGTTGTAAATCTATCTCGTTCTGCACTTGTCGACGTTGATCAAGTTTGTTGACAAGAGTATTCGTGATTTTTTTGAATCTGTCGTACACATTCTGTTTCTCATTACAAGCCTTTGTCACTTGCTGCAAGTTTTGTTTACTATTCTGTAGTTCGGTTTCCTTTTCATGAACGCGTTCTTCAATAATCTCTCGGTTTTTATTCTTCTGCTGAATGTCACGTTCGTGTTTTCGATTCCGAGCATCGATATCAATGATCTGTCGATGTGTTTTAATCAATGCTGCTTCAATAGTGTCCAATTGTTGTTGATGATTGTCATATTCTTGTTGCTTTGCAACCAATTCTTTTCCTTTGTAGTTGACTCGTGATTTTAAATCGGCCATAGTCTGTTGTTTCTCATTGAGAATGTGTTGTTGTTGTTGGATATCACGAGATAGCCGAGAGATATTCTTCTCGAATTCTTGTTTTTCCTGTTTCTGTCTTGTCAATTCTGTTTCAATGTTAACTTTTTGTTCGTCTAATCTTCGTTGTTGTCTCTCTGCAGCACTCTTCAATTGTTCTTGCTGAGCTAATTCGTCTTCTAACTGATAAACAGATCTGAAAATATTGGCCATATTTACTTTGATACATTCAAGGTTATTGTTTGCATTTTGAAGGAGGATATTTTTCTCACGAAGGATGAGTTGATGTTGTTCAACTTTTTGTTCATTGTTTTTTAGTTCCGCAGTTTTCTCAGCTTGTTGAGTCTGCTTTGGTCGAATTTCATTTTGTTTAGCGAGACATTGTTGTTGTAAATCACGCACTTGCTCTTGCCGTTGATTGACTTCATTATCGGTTTGTTGAAGTTTTTCTGTAAGACGTTCGACTGACTCATTGAAGGATTGTAAATCACTTTTCAATTTAGTTATTTTTGTTGTTTGTTTTTCGACATCAGATTTAGCTTTGGATAATTCTTTATTTTTGTCTTTGATTTGACTTTCCACTTGTTTAGAATCATTTTTTAGTTTATTAAGATTTTTCTCGTTTTCTTTGAACGTTGTTTTCTGATGTTCAACTTTATTTTTACTCTCAGTAACCTTTCCCTTTTGAGTGATTAATTTTTCTTCTTTTACTTTCAAAGTCTCTTCGACTTGTTGAAGTTGTTTTTGACTCTCAGCTGTCCTCGTTTGAGCGTCAAGATGAGCTTGTTTCCGAATTTTGAGAGCTTCAGTACACTGTCGTAGAACAATCGTTAATTCAACGACAACACTTTTGCAATTCGCGACTTTGGCAAGTGCGCGGGGTACTGCACTCGGATTCGTTATTGTGGCAGCTGTTAGTTCAGCTATAGCTAAACTTAGCTTGACTTGAGCAGCTACTAAACGGATTCTTGCCTGATTTACCTGCAATTGAGTCAGGAATTCCTGTTTTCGAGCTACTGCTTCTTCAAATTGACTCTTCCGAAGTGTTTGCTCAGCTATACACTGTTGTTTTCTTTGTTCTTTGACCGCTCGTTCAGCAATATGCAGTTGTGCTATTTCATTAATCAATTCTTGTTCGAGTTCTTGAAGTTTTTCTTTTTCTTTCTCCAACTGAGCTGCACACTGATCGCGTTCAGCGGTGAGACGACGAAGTTCATCTTCTAATTTTTGTAGTTCATTTTCAAGCGTTTTGACATTCTCCTGAAGTTTTTCTAATAATTCTTCCGCTTTTTTCAATTCCTCATTTTTAAGTTGGATCTTTTGAATAATTGTCTGTTTTTCTTGTTCCAACTTTGCTCGTTCCTGAATTTTCAGTTGTATTTCAGTCCTAAACTATTGAATTTATTGAGATTCCCATCGAATTTTACATTTGACTTACTCGATCTTTTGTTTTTGTTGAATCAACTGCTGCAACAATTGTTCTTGCTGTGCAATCTCCTGTGCCAATTTGTTAATTTCTTCTCTAATTGTTTGTAGAATATTTTGAAATGATTTGATTGTTTCTTCAATGGTATTTACTTCTTGTTTAATTTGAAGAATATTTTCTTTGATCTGATTTTCTTCTTGTCGTAGTTGTTGTTTGTGTTGATCAAGTTCATTCTTTCGATTTTTTTTCATGTCAATGAGTTGTTGAATTCGTCGAAGGGCGTTTTCGATTTTGATTTTTTCTTCTTGAAGACGATCTCGAGCTAATTCATTTTCATTTAATTGATGTTCAAGTTCGATTCGTCGTCGTTCGAGTGTATCTTTGTTTTGTAGAAATTGATTAAGCTCATCTCGAAATTGTTCAATACTATTTTTCGTTTGATATATTTCTTTTTTCGATTCTTCCAATTGAATTTTCAGTTCTTTCGATTGTTGTTCAAGCTGTTGCATCTGCTGAGTAAAATCTTGTTTTTTCTTTTCGATTTGCTGACGTTCCTGTTCGAGATGAACTTGTTTTTTTTCTAAATGCGCTTTTTGATCATTAAAATCGTTGCTTTGTTCTTGAAGTTGTTCAATTTCTTCTTCACTTTTTTCTAATTGTTGCTGTAGATGATTGTACTCATGTTTAAGTTGTCGAGATTCCTGTTCTAATTTAAGTTGATTGTCACGTAAAGTTTCAAGTTCTTCTTCAAATCGTTCGATTTCACGATTTTTTTCTTTGAGTTCATCATCCAATCGATGCAATTCCACTCGATGTTCTTCGGTCAGACGTTTGTATTCTTCAATTTGCTTACTGATTTCTTCTTCTTTAATTTTAGCATCATGTAATTCATTCTGAAGATTCTTTTTTCGATAGTCAAGCTGTTGCATTTGTTCCTGTACGGACAACTGTTGATCATCTTGCACAACTCTTCTCTCATCTGCGTCATAGATTGAGTCCGTCATCATTCTGATGCAGAATAGGAAAGACGAAATTCAGCATTTTGCGTTGTTTTTATGTGTCATTCGGATGATGAAATAATCTGGGTAAAATTCTTTAATCAAGAGTTTCCTATTTACTCGAATTCTTCCAAATATAAAATGCGTAGAAAAAAGCAACAGAACGAAATAATGTAACTTGGAAGTTTTCTTTTTAATAGTTTTATCCGTTTCAACAGGGAAATTTATACCCACTTTGATAGAAGTACCTCTTAATACTACGTAGTTGTATATAGATTAATGATTACAGTGAGATCAACTTGCAAAGAATGGCAAACGATCAATGGATTTCAATTGTTGACTATTTGCGATCTAACACGGGTTTTAACGATCGAAATTTTACCATCATCCGTGAGCAATATCAACAACAGTGTGGTGGATCATTTCCCGAGTTATACGATGAGTCTGCAGTTAAAGAAGTGGCGCGTCAACTTAAAATCAAGATCAATACTACTGAGTGTCTTGATTTATTGCACGATTGTGTCTTTAGTTCAAGTATGAAAGATTCACGAACTTTGGCAGAATCATCATGGACAAACAGAATGGAGCCACAGGGTGCCATCACTACCAACGGATCGTGTATTTATTTAGTTTCATCGCCATCGAATGTTGAGAAGAATGTAACGCTTCTTACTGATGTTGATTGCTTGTTAACCGTCAAAATGGCCTTTTCGAAAGTGTCCAATTTCATTCGTTCATTTTTTCTAGAACCCATCAATGCATCAGCCTCGAATGTGATCATTGACCAGCAATCGTTTTTTCTCAATACTCGTTGTCTACTCTACCTGTTTATTCGAGAACAAATGCACGAGCATGATACCATTACGTCAACTGCTGATCGGAATGCAACTCGTTTTCGTCTTATCGAGCCAATTAGTAGCAATGATGAGTTTGGTCCATGGTCATATGATCATTGGCATGGTTTGTTTGATTTGGAACTGAAACCTCATGGTGATAATGTTCAATTTCCAGAACGATGGTGTCTAGCTCAGGATGTGAAGATCCACTGTTGCATTGAAACCTGCAATTCAAAACAGAAAAATTCGCTTCCATCGCATATAGATAGGCCACGTACGGCAACGCTCGATGTATTTGTTCACGATGTCTGTAAGCGAGAGAATAATGGCCAAAGCGAATCTTGGTTAAAAGGACTCAGACAAGAGGATATATTCAGCTTTGAACATTTAAACAATTTAAATCAATCCGAATGGGATCGAATTCATGAGTTGTCTGTGAATGCCAAACGAATATTGAAAGCGGCCGTCGACAGAGAACGAACCAGTATTGCTGGTGAACGTCGTCGACGAGTAATTGATGAGCCCAATGATGACAACAAGGAACAGACGGACACAACTTTTGTAGAGGATTCATCAATTACTGATTCGGAACTATTTGCCAATCTGCATTTGATTAAACTATTCATATGGCATAAATTGCGTGATCAACCAGCTGTACAACGTCACGGTGCTTTGGCCAAACTTGAAATGAAATGTTTGAATGTAGCGTTCGAGGAGATGCGATCTGAAGGTTTTGTTGATGATGGTCTATTTCCGAAGATAAGAGAATTCTTTCTTCCACTTACTATTTCTGAACAAGAATTGCATGTAAAACGATCATCAAATCAAACTGCTCGATTGACAAGATGCAAACAATTACGTAAACAAATCGAGCTATATACGACCAAACTTGACGAACTGAACGATGCTGATCAGAAATGCAACGAGGAAACTCTTCGAATGGAACAACTGATCAAAGATCACGAAGACAAACATTCTCAGGTATTGACAACATGGAAATCGAAGAAAAACAATAAAAAACAGCAAAAACAACTAGAAGCCCTTCATCGGATCTATCAAGATTGTCTTAAACGTCAGGACAATTTCCTTAAACAACGTCATAAACTGAAACAAGAGAAAGAAACGATTCAAAAGACAATCAATGAATGGCAGAATAAAATCGAAGGGACGAAAGAACGTTTACAAACGATCGAAATAGAATTAAACACACCTCATAAACCAGTGCAAAAACAACTTGTCAAACCACCTCGAGGTCTGATTATGTATGGACCACCAGGTAAGTTCAAGGCACTCTTATTCGCATAAATATCTCTTCGAAAAGGTACTGGCAAATCGGATATATTGAGTAAATTAGCGAAAAAATTGGGTATTATTATGGTGGGTCCACCTTTGGCAGCTGGTGAATTGAATCGTCCACTGGTTGGTGAAAGTGAACGGATATTAATTGCACTTTGTTCACGTTGTTATCAAGTTCCCTATGCGATGTGTTGTGTATCCATCGATGAAATTGATTCGTTAGCACCTAAACGTGATGAAGATTCGAGCGAAGGCAAAGTGGATAAGATCTCTGTACTTTTATCCTTGATTGAAGGGATTAAAGATGTTCCCAATTTAATGATCTTAAGTGCTACTAATCGATTACATATGATGGACGAAGCATTTTTACGTCGAATGTCAGGAAAATTTTTTGTTGGTCGACCATCATCAAATGCACGTCGAAGCATGCTTCAAACGATACCTTATTGGGCTCTCGAACCCGAACTACTCGATCGACTCTCGACGGCTACAACAAACTTCAGTGGAGCTGCTGTCAAGTAAGAACTTCGTTTACGTCTCATTTATTATCTATCTGTATTATTATTAGGGCATTAACTGGAACAATTACAGTCAAATGTATGACAATGCAACGTGATAATTCGAATTATCAAATTGGTGAAATTGAAGCACTTAAAATGGCCGATCATACAGCTCAGCAATATCAAATATTCATTGGCAATGAAACATTACCTCGTTTATTTTTACGCAATAAACTTGCTGATGCTCATCATCCTCATACTTATCATTTGTCATCCAATTTCAGATATACAGGACGCATTATTGTTGATCTACACAACAAACATATTCGTATTGAAATCACAAACAATGATCAACCATCGATCATCGAACATGATTTGTATCCAAATGAAACCAATGTTCAAACTTTACTTGAACGTTTAACTAATTATGGAAACAGTCGGAATGTTCAATTGCTTCAATTAATCGATTTGAACTTACTTGCATCACAAGGTGCTTATGATGAGAAAAAAGTCTATGAAACATTGAAAGATCGTTATGATGAATGTGTTTCATATTCACGTTCGATGATTGTCTACGATTTAGATACTTTGGTTGGTGTGAATAAATCAGAATCGGATTCCAATATGGGTCTATCAAATACAAAATCGATACATAATCAAAGCATTTACATATATGTACTTGCTCGATTTCGTGATCGAGCCATGGAAAATGTTCAAAAAGATGAAACGGATAATGTTCAACGATGGGCGGTAGTCGTGATTCGTGAACCATTTCTTTTACGTCAGTTCTGTGTAAATACACAATATCCACGTACACGTCCAGAGGAAGAACAAGATGAATTGGAGCGATGCAAAGCCGAAAATATTCTCAAATGTGTCAAATGTAAAGATTTCTATATCGAAAATGAGAATAAAATGGGTATATATTTACCTCTAAAACTTGTCTCAATAAAATCTATTGTTTTATTTCAGGCACTTGCATTCATCATGATGGTTTTGTATTTGACACCGAAGCAGCCGATTTGACAATATATACACCATCTGAAGTTGCGAAGATCTTAAGAGAACTTGAGCGTAAGATTATCAAATATCCTAATCGACGTGAAGAGCTCGAAATGCAAACAAAAAAATTTAAATGGATATGTTGCGATGAAACATTTACAAATGTACGTACAGGTGGTTGTAAACGTGGCAAGCATGGATTCTTTCCCAATGGTGGCAACAATCGACTCAATCAGGCAATAATTGAAGAATGGGAAGATGCTTGTCGGAATAATGAAGAATACTATGAAAAATGGATAATATTAGCCAAAGAATATTAACTAGATTTTCGTGTAAAGAACGATAGAACATTGACATAGATGTAGCCGAATAACCAAGAATTATCTCAATAAAATATTTTTCATAGTCATCGATTTACATCAAATATAAAAATTTCGTAAATTTTCAACCATTTAATTGTTGAATATTGTTTAATCAAATAAAAATTCTCGTTCATAACATTAACGTATTTGCGACGATTCGATTTTCTCAGAAAATAACTTTAACAAATTCATTTTCCTGTACATTTACCTTCTGATAAACGCGCTTATTGCTCTTTTTGGTATACATCTTTTCTTTTCTGTCACTCAGAGAGATAGATAAAATCAATTTACAGTATTTCTTGAACTGTCGTTATCACTAATGTTTACAGTCGATTGAAGAAATTTTTGTCGAGAAGGGAGTGGGTGCGGGTGTGTGGTTGTGGGTGTGTGGGCGTGGGCGTGGGTGGGTGTGGGCGTGGGTGTCGGTGTGGGTGTAGGTGTGGGTGTATGGGTGTGGGTGTAGGTGTGGGTGTGTGGGTGTGGGTGTAATTAAAGATAATACCCACACCCACACCCAAACCCACACCCATCCACACCCACACCCACATCCACACCCCACACCCACACCCACACCCCACACCCACACCCACACCCACACCCACACCCACACCCACACCCACACCCATTAGCAGCATTAGATATTGGTCATAATAATTCAGGAGCGTGGCCTACATGGCATTTAGAAAAGGTTTGTTTGAATAAATAGATTTGATGTTCAAAAATAAATCAATGAATATTCGATTGCAGGTTGTTGTTGAATGTCTAAGTACAGATATTGAACAAATATTTCCTTGCAATCGATGGTTACCTGAAGATGAAGATGATCATCGTATTGAACGTCGATTACAAGAAGATGAATCATTAGGTAAAACTTGTCCACTAAGTAAATCAAATAATCTTCTTTTTAAAACATTTGTGTCGTTTTATTTAGTTATTCCATGGTATAGGTGGATATATACAAGTGATATAAAAGAAGCTGGTACAGATGCTCAAGTAAATCTTGTTATCTATGGTCATAATGGAAAATCTGATAATATTAAATTATGAAGGAAATCTGGTGTATTTGAAGCTGGTGCATGTGATGAATTTAAAGTTGATATACCTGATATTGGCAGATCATTTAAATTACGTGTTAGTCATGAGAGTAAAAAATTTCTTTCCAACAGCATGGCATCTTAATCGAGTATGAAATATATCAAAAAATGTTTTTTGAATTTGATTTGATTTTTATTCAGATTGAAATGGAAAATCTTAAGACAAATGAACGATTTCTATTTCATTGTGGAAGATGGTTATCAAAAAGAGATGGTGATAAACAAATTATTCGAGAATTACCAGCTGAAGGACCTGGAATTAATAAACCATTACCTGTTATTAAATATCATGTTGATCTATATACGGGAAGTAGACGTGGTGCGGGTACAGATGCGAATGTATTTATTAATATATTTGATGATATTGGAGATACAGGAGGTTTGAAAATTCAGATTCATTTTTCAATAAATATTTTGTATTTTCTAGAACGTTGATTAGAATATTCATCAACAAATAAGAATAAATTCGAAAGGAAGAATGTAAGTTTATTGAAAATATTTGAAAGAAGAAATTTCGATTTTTTGTTTTCTTCAGGTTGATAAATTTGTTATCGAAGCAGTTTCATTAAAACAAATAAAAAAGATTCGAATTGGTCATGATGGAACTGGTTAGTTAAATAAAATGAAAATAATCTTTTTTTTTTTATTAATTTATTTATTAAATAGGTCCAGATGCAGGATGGTTTTTAGATAAAGTTGTTGTTCGTCCAGAAGATATACATTATGAAGAAGCAACATTTATATGCAATAAGTATTTGATATTTCAAATAAGAAATAAATAAAAAATGATGTTTTTTCCAGATGGCTTGTTACTGATGAAGATGATGGTCTAATTGTTCGTGAATTAAGTCTTGGTTTTGCAGGACAACCTTTAGATAAGACAACATATAATGTTACTTAGGGTTAACCAAAAGTCCTGAGCCCAGTTAAAAGACCCTGTCGGATAAGAAGACCTATTCGAAATTGAAAAACCAAATATACCATTTTGTAGAGCAAATCAAGGCCCGTCGAATGGCATATATTGAATCTGATATTCATAAGACTTTAGTGGAACTAGAGTCAATTTACTAGTAGACGGCCATGTATCCAAAAAGTTATAGTACATACAAAAACAATCGTAGATCATTTAAAAATCGTATTTTTCTCAATGAGAGATAAAACGATCGGAGATGCCAAGTATATCAACTAGTAGTCCATGAAAAACTCTACAAAACTGTATATAAAAATATTTTCCTAAAAATACCTTTCAATGACATCAAGATCCGTAATGATCAATAACTGATGGTACTTTTGAGTACATGACCGTCTACTAGTAAATTGACTATAGTTCCACTAAAGTCTAACGAAAATTAGATTTAATATATGCCATTCGACGCGCCTCGACTTGTTCTACAAAATGGTATATTTGGTTTCTCAATTTCGAATAGTTCTTCTTATTCGACAGGATACTTTAAAAGTTGGACTCAGGACTTTTGGTTAACCCTAAGTAAAATCAAAACTGGAGATGTTTTTCAAGGTGGAACTAATGCTGATGTGCATCTGAAAATCTTTGAAAATAAATGTGATTCAGATAGAATTCAATTACAAACGTTAGATAATACTTCGAATTTATTTGAACGTGGACAAATTAATAGTTTTTCACTTGAATTTGATGACCTCGGCAAAGTTTGTTATGAAAATATTTTATTAAATAAAATCATTTGATGATTATTCTTAGATTGAACATATTCTTATTGGACATAATGGTAAAAATCCTGGAGCTGGATGATTTCTTGATTAGGTTGAAATTGATGTACCAGAAAAAGAGGATTTTATAAGTAAAATCTAAGCAAAAGATTTTATTTTTTATTTATGATTATATTCAATAGATTTGTATGTAATCGTTGGTTAGATAGGAGAGAAGATGATGGTAAAATAGAACTTGATTTAACACCATCAGAAGTAACCAAGAAAGCTGGTGGTATAAAATAAAAACGGAATTGATAAAAAAGAAAGTATATTTTTGTTTAGTTATTCCATATGAAATCTCAGTTTTTACAGGTGATTTATATGGAGCTGGTACTGATGCGAAAATATTTATTCAAATGTATGGTTTATATGGTAAAACTGAAGAAATTGTTTTCAAAAGTAAATCGGATACATTTGAAAGAAAAGCGATATGAATAAAAATGAATATTTTATTTTCACAGAATTTGATGTTTTTTTTGTAGGTTGATAAATTCAAAATCGAAGCACAAGATATTGGACAAATTCAAAAGATTCGTATTGATCATAATTCGGAAAAATTAAGTTCTGGATGGTATCTTGAAAAAGTACGATACAATTTGATATTTTATTTTATTCAATTAGATTTTTATTCAGGTACTGATTCAACGACATCTAAGTGTACCATTTGTTAAACGTAAATAAAGGTTTGAATATATTAATTAATTTTTTTAAAATTTTATTGATTATATATTTTAGATTTTCAAGGCGATCGACTGCAACGTCTTAATCAAATTAGTTCAGCTGATCCAAATATTGAAGAATATTGGTTTGTTTGTCGGCAATGGTTTGACAAGAGTAAAAAGATTTTAAATTGATTTTACATGATTGAAAATCATATTTTTTCTTTTCATTTTTTATAATAAAAGTTTTTTTTTTCTTAATTTTTTTATATTGATTATTAATAAATAAATATAAATTTATCTTTGAATTATGATTATTTAATAAAACAAACTGTAAAAAGAGATTATCATTGGAGAGTAACAAATACAGAGTGAATCATGATGGACTTTCTTTTCTTTCCTTTCTCTGGACAATACAGTAAAACAGATGACATCAGCTGGTATATGACACAACATCTGATCATAAGTAGAACAAAGAACGAAAAGAAATTGACCGCCTTTTATAAAAACAATTGTAAAACTCGTTTTTTTTTTAAATAAAATATTAATAATTCATTTGTTTTTAAATAAAATTAATTATTAAAAGATAAAAAAAACCTTCACAGTGAAATACTTGAAAAGATTTTAAATTTTTTTTTCAAAAATAAAACAAATTTCGGATTTTTTTTCAACGAAAGTGAGTGAAAATCCTTTTGAAAAAGTCTTTTTCATATTGAATAAAACGTATTAATTTATTCTCTAATAGATGAGCGATCAAAACAAGGCAAAAAAACATCAAAAAAAAAGTAGATTTATTTTTTAAAATTTAATAATTATAAATAATATTTTAGTAAAAATTGCAACACCAACTCGAGTTGATGTTGTACAAGATGAAATGGGTGTTACTGCTTCAACAATTGCAACAGAGGCGGTATCAACCTGTCATTTTATACTGCTTATGGGATATTACAATCTCCAAAGATTTGCTCTCCTCTATCATACACCGGCTCATTATACATCATCATCAGAAACAGCATCAGAAGAGCCATCAACATCAGGTTCATCATCAGGTTCATCATCTCCTCAACAAATAGTATGGACAGCAATGTCTGCATTGGTAGACTTGCTGAAGAAAATAGGGGAAGAGTTAATTGTATTTATCCCTTCTACACTCGATACACAAGTCGAATACATCGACTTTAGTTTATTTAATAATCTTAAAATACTCGTTGGTGGTAGTGTTGATCATGATTATGATTTAATTCATAATGGTTTTAATTTATTAAATGATGAAAATAATAATCATGAAATTCTAACTGAACTTGAACAACATCCATCATTTTATTTAATCCAAAAATTAAACAATAATATAAAAATTTTAAAACCTATGACATTTTATCAATCAAAACAATTTACAAAATTAGGTAAATTCTCGTAGAAAACCCTTAGACACATTTCACTCATTTAAACACAACAGATTATCGTCCGTAACATTCATATATAATATTAATATGCACTCTGAAAATCAGAACTTAGCTTTATCATAATAAAATTAATTCTCATTCAATTTGACATCCTGTAATTGATAACATCATCAAATTAGTTCACACTTAAACAAAAACTTAAAGAAAATTTAAATCCCTTATAACATCATAAGATAATTCCACAGAATTCCAATAGATAAAACTAATCCATATAAGTTAAAAATACTAAATCACAAGCCGATTTGGGACCAACGAATTTAACAGTATCAAATAATAATTTAATAAACGTGTCATCAGAAAATAATCGAATAGATCAACGCGAAAAAAAATAAATGAATATTTTTTGTTTGTTATCGTTAAGACTTGTTGAGAAAATAGAAAGTTTATCTGAAAGTGGGAAGAATTAGTATGATGAATTTGAATTTATTATTAAACTTATTTTTATTTCATCATATTCAGGATTGAAAGGTGTAGATGTACCTGAACCACCGTGTTTATTCGTCAAATATGATTGTTTATTAAATGTTGCTAATATATTCATCGAGTTATATATTAATTCATCTACAACATACTGTCTTGCTTCAATGTATATTAACTTTAATGATGATGATGTACAATATCTCTGGAAATTGGAGCACCGTGAAATTAATGAAGCACAATTGGATATGAGAGCAAATTCTTTGGAGTTAGATTGGTTGAACAAATCTGTTGGTAAGAGAGTATATGTTTTCATTTAATTAAAAATGATCGGATTTCATACTTCGAGAATAGATTTTCTTTTATTTTGTATGTGAATTGGTAAATACTAGTAGGAATTAAAATTGATCTTTGATATATCTTTAATCGATTGGTTAACAAATGAGCGAAAGGGATAAAACTTCATCTTTGAAAAAAAAGAACTATAGAAGATTCTGAATGATGGCCTTAGTTGACGATTAGTCTTCTTTCGATTAAATGAATAATATTCGCATTGGTTTGAATTTAAAAATGAAATATTAATTTTTGTTTTAGATTTTATTTCTTCTCAAATTAATGATGATGTAAGAAATTATATATAATTTTCATAAGAATTTTTGTTGTGAATAATTGTTTTGTTTGATAACGGGTGATGCAAAAGTTCTTGCACAAATATCAGACTCTATTGCATTTGAACGAAAAGTGATAGAAAGTTAATTCTTTTTTTGTTAGATAGAGCGTTGTTTCTACTTTAAAATGATATGTTTAGCAGATGTCTACTCATGCACTATTAGCAAAAGACATTCGATTTTTCTAAAACTCCTAAAAAACGTACTGTAAATTTCTGCAATTTTATTTTTGCGTTCTTCGAAAAAAAATTTCATATCTTACCTTAGATGCGACATTTTGGACTGATTTTTACAGATTGTATGCAAAATGATATAAGCTTTTCTCACACATACAAATCATTACGAAGCTTGATCATGATCATATACTTTCGGCATAAAAAACCAAATGTTCTATTTTTTTGGAAATTTGTGCACATCAATTGTTCAAAAATCTTATCGCTTTAAATATATTTTTTACAAGTAATTACAACAAGATTGACTACGGCAGATAGAGCTTCTCTGGAACTACAAGAATATGTACAAAAAGTTTATTAAACTGTTTATCCTAACTTAATTAGATATGTGAAACTGTAAGATTTACTGTTGCACAAATTTTTGCAATTTGTGGCAGCATACTGCTAAGAAACTGGATCTCTGTAAAGAAAATTCTGTTTGAGCTGAATTTTTTAATACAAATGCTCGTTAAGGAACTACACAACTTAGAGGCCATTTTGGTTCAGGAATGCATGTCTTTATTGAGATATAGCATTTGTTTACTATCAAAAAAGTTTACATCCTGCTTTTTAGGGGTGTTAGAAAAAATCGAATGCCTTCTGCTAATAGTGTATGAATAGACGCCTGCTAAGCATATCATTTTAAAGTAGGAACGACGCTCTATTTAACAAAAAATGAATTACCTTTTTATCGCTTTCCGTTCAAAATACAATACAGTCTGACATTTGTGCAAGAACTTTTGCATCATCCGTTAATATTTCTAGAAAACTTCTGAATTATCTGATGAACAAGAAAATTCTGAATTATCAATTGAACAAGAAAATTCTAGCAGTTTAAATGTAGCTAATCAATTGCGATATGATTTAATTGAAAAACCAATGACAATGTTCAAATCAAATTTAAATAAAACTCAAGTAAAAAAATGAAATTATATACTTAGAATTTTTAATGATTATATTATTTTCTAGGTAGTTCTTCATGTTAAATTTAATCAGTTGGTTAATATACATTCAGTTTCAATTAAAGCATCAGAAAGTAAAATTAATTGAATTTTATGTATTCATTATTTTGACAAATCTATTTTGTAGATAATGGTCCTAAAACTATAAAGTTATTATTAAATCAAGAAACAGTTGACATTGATTATGTTAATACAAATGAACCGATTGAAACTATCGAGTAAATTTTCTTTTTTTGCATTACATCATTTAGAGAGATTTTGAAGGTGGGGAAATAAAATGATAATATTCATATTTAACAAAAAAGATGAACGACATGTGAGAGACAAAAGAGATAAATACTTCGGATATAGCCGAGTGGGCAACAGCGTATATGACGCGACACGGGTTCGATTCCTGTCCGAAGCGATCATTTTTTTTTGTTCTTCTCCATTATTTTACATTATTCTTTGTAAAATCTTTTTTGCTTATTCTCAGAACTATCCTTTCGAGATCTCAATCGGCAAAGGAGCTGATGAACTACGCTAATTATGAATATGTTATCTTTACCCTCAAAGAGTGTATTTCCCAAAATTTCTCTGAAATCATGTGTGGTTAAATTTGTTTTTTTAATTTGAACAGATTTACCAAAGATCATATTGTAAATGGAACACCGATTCAATTAGAACTTATTAAATTACAAAATATTCACTCAATTTCAGTAAGACATTTGCCTTATAATTTCAAAAGACAATATTTTCTTGAAATTTAGTTTTTCTTTATCAATAATCAATCAGATGTTGAAGAAACAACTATGGAATCTATCATTTTCTTTGGAACACCAGTTGGTACAACAGACATAAAAAGTCCTTAAGAAGGTAAATAAATATGATAATAAATAGGATTTTATTCTCTTGTTTTATTAATAGATAGAAGTCATGTCGTTGATCAATATATCATATTAGTCAACCCATACAAATAAAACATTTTCACTTTACTGATTTTTTTTATATTTCACACCTTTTTTTTTCATTTTCTTTATGCTTTATGTTTGTTATTCTTTTGCTATCAATCTTCGACTAACTTAAACATTGATCAAATTTCGTAGTAAAAAAATCTAGTTATGGTATTTAAATCCTCCGGTATGAAATCAATATCAATGATCGTATACTTTATCGACGTCCGATATTTCGTATATCTTTTCAAGATGTCCTATGTGCACATGTTTTCTTTCTCATTTAGTTGTAACGCATCATACAAAAATGTTTGCTTTTTGTTTCTTTCTTGTATCTCCTTTCGAGGTTACAGAATCTAAAAAGTAAAATATTTTTGACGGAGATCAAGAAACGAAACGGTTACCACTATAAGCAATGAAAGAATATCATGTAAGAAAATCAGATGAAAATACCAGAGAAAGATAATAGTTTATAATCAAAGACGAACGTTTTTTTTCTGATTCTTTTTGGATTTCTATAGACAAATATTAAATCAAATTTACTGTCTTAAAATTAATTGACAAATTGTTGAATGTGTAGATGAATTTATTTCTAAACATTCGTCAAATATACGAATAATTAAAACATAATCAAATATTGCGAAATTGTTTTCAGTAAACAATTATCAATAGATATCAGATCAAACAGACAGTATTAAAATTATTTTTTTTAATCGAAAAGAAATTATAAAAAATGAATTCGACGATTTCCTAATATATAAAGTTTACATTAAGAGTGAGATATTCTTTTAATGAAAATAAACAATTTTCATCTTTTGTTTTTATGAAATTGTACATAAAATTGAATCTTTATCTTTGTAATTACCCTCAATGCTTTCTTTCAATTAAAAGATTGTTTGTCGCATCAAATGAGTTAAACACACTTATAATCTAAGAAATGTCGCTTGTCTCATTGGAAAGTTATGAACCCATTAAAACACGTATCCTTCCGTTACCATGGTCAAGATAAGCTATATACAATTGTTTAAATTCACGGCGCCAAGGTCAACGTAATTCGAGTTATTAGTGCCGCTCGTAAATGTAGAAATTGTATGTATGGATTATTTCGACCCTTTACCATATTTTAACTATTTCTTTTCATTCATGTCTATATGAAATCACTTAGAACAAAATCTTTTTTTCAATTTTTTCAGTACTGTGAGTTACAAATTATTTTATTATAATACTAATTTGTCCTATCTGCACTAAAATACTATCGCTCATTTAATATTGAAACAGCGAAGAATCAATAGTTGATATTAAACTGTTCAGGAACAACAACTATTATCTTCTTTCATTCCAAATATCTCTTCAAAAAGAAGCAATTTGGTTACATGGGTTCTTTTCAGAATATAGTAATGAAAACTATAGAAAAGAATAACATGTTTTGTATGATTGAAATAATTCATCTCTTCTTTAAGTTGCTTAGGTTTTTTCGATGATTAGTCAGTAATAATATTAATAGTCTATGAAGAATTTGAAAAATAAGTGTCGTTATCATTAAAGGGAAACTCAAAATTGCGAAAATAAATTTATCAAAATACACTTATTCTTTAGAATGGAAATGTGCATATGGTTAACAGAAAAGTAAACAATCTCAATGTGTCCCTTGCAAGAGAAGCTCTTCATGTCTGTATAAATATATATTTATCTTATGTAAACCTTGAGCAGAATCAATGGACTATAACAATGAGAACTCGCACAGCAAACATTGTAAATGTTCTGTCAAGTTAAATAACTTTTGAAATATCCACTCTTAAATACCCACAAAAATTTAAACTGTTTTTAAAGGTTTATCTTCTTTTCATGAATGAATTTGAAAAAAAACTTAAGTACCATTAAGAATAAATTGTTCAATTCAGCTAACTGATATCTTTTTAGAAAGTTCTGTAATAAATTTTTCCCCTGTCTTTTTACATCTGTATTCACTGTATACAACTGATCGCTTGCTTCCTCTCTTGTCTTCTCGTTCTTTTCAGATTGAACGTGCGCATTTTTTTACTTGTGATAAGAGTGATTCCAACTGTATTATTTATTTGCAGTGTTTTAACCCTCTGACCATGACGGTTCTAAAGGGACAACCAGTCCTTATCAGAAGATACAAAAGAAAGGAGAAAAAGAAACAACATAAAGAGGAGAAAGAGAAAAGAAAAAAAAGGTTGAAGTGATAATAATGTAAACAATGTTAATACCCTATTCGATTAAAATTGTATCTTTAGATTGTTATGATGGCGAAACGAACTTTTTATTCAATTTACTAAGTATTTCGGTGAAAAGAGAAAGGTAACTATCCGGTATCAGAAGTACTTTACTTTCTCGAAATATGGCGAATAATCTAGAGATATTTGTTAACAGTAGATTCACGTCTTGCTGGTACTTGCTGAACGTAGACTCAGTATTTTCTGCCTTGTTTTGAACGTATTGAAGCGTTTGTTGTTGCACCGACAGCTTCACTTCTAAGGATTTTATTGTATCTTCCAGTTCCCTCGTTCTTCGTTCATTAATTTCAAGTTGTTCGTTGAGTAAGTCTATACCATGTTTATTTTCGGAATCTCTCTCGACCATTCCCTTTTTAAACGCTTCGATAGTAGAACGGGTTTTTTCACCTTCTTCTTCCATCGTCTTAAAAATTTTATCAATATCGACTGTATTTGGGGCAGATAGATTTGTAGCTGAGATCTGCCAGGATGAACATGATGCAGGAATTGGATATTTGTCTAAGACCGAAACAGATGGTTTACTAAGAAGAGTCCGAGTGAGAGCTGCACGATAATCGTTTATGATACGACATTTTGTGTCGTTAGAGCAATGCGCTCCTCCACAATGAATACATTTTGGTATACCAGAACATACATGATCTTTAATATTGACATATTTTTCGCCACAGGTATTGCAAGTCATTTGATCCTGTTGTGGACAGTTCTTTTGAAAGTGACCTATGCCTCTACATCGAGATCATATGAGAACGTTTGTCAGCGCTAAGTATTCGACCACTTCATATCGCATGTTGGAAATACTAATGAATTTATGCTCAAGAATTTCATTTCGTATTTTGACTGATTTGATTTCAACTTTGACTGCTTTGAGATCTTGTAAATTTCGATTTTTTAAACGGACCACTTTGACTATATCAGGATACTCTGCTTTAAGATCAGTTGTAAATTCCTCCCAATCGATATTGAGCGCTACATTTTTTACAACTACTGAAAGTTGTGGTGGAATAGACGGTTTCTTCAATATGAAATTCTTTCCGACCAATTGAGATGGCCAATGTGCATCATCAAATAGAAATTCAAATGAGCCTGTTGATTCCACGAAAACTAGCACATCATATTCTCCTCGAAAGCAATTGACCTGAGATCTTCGATAACTTACGATTCGAAGATCAAAACCGAACTGTTGTTTAGAGTGATTCACTAGGTGTTCCATAACGAGTTTATCACGCACATCATCTTTAAAGTGAACAACAAATGGCGAAAAAGGATAACGCGTCGTGGCATAACGCTGCGCTTGGGATGTCACTTGATTATTATTACTGTCTGCCATAGTGTTGAGCGGTTCAGCAGAAGCTGTTTGATTGCGGTATACTTGGGAACGAATATTGTAAGAACCCGTGGTAGGCTGATTCATAGAATTAGGAATGGTCGAGTTGAAGGAGGAACGATTTACTTTTTTATATCTACGAGCTGTTTGCCAACCTTCATTGTTATCATTATCCATTGAAGAACTGACGTCATGATGACCTTTTTTGTTCTTTCTTGCTCGACTGAAATTGTGTTCGATGTAAGAATGGCGGGAGATGCCTGCACGTTTTTGTTCTGCTGTAAAGTAGGAGAAGAGCGATGGTATGCAATAACCGAAGGATTATACCGTTGATTTTCATTTGTTTGTTGGTATAATTGTTCCGACTGCCTAATCGAATTATTACTAATTGATCGAGATATGGTGTTCAGTTGTATGGGAATAAACTGTCCATTCTCGATGAAACCTGACATTGTTACTAATTGACCCGAGTGAACATAGGCTTGATCCTGATGCTGATTTTGCGAACGAATTTGTGCTTGTTCAAGGTATAACCTGTTGTAATCGACTGATTCAAGCTGAGCATACGATTTTTCATTCGCACTAATATCAGAATTTCCATGCTGATTCGAAATCAGAGAAGCATTGGAAGTTTGTTGTACATCCATGTACATGTACTACTTCTCTTTGTATACAAGAAGGAGAACAAGAAGAGTACAGTGGCAAAAGAATGCGACTAACCAACACGATAGTGAAAGGAGGAATGGAGTGATTCCAACTGTATTCACATGTTCCAATTCCATTTCTTGTAATTGAAATTCAGAAACGTATTTAGAGAGAAAGAGAGAGCAGTAGACAAAACTGATTATCCTTCAAAAAATTTCTAATTATCTGAAGGATGTACTCACCAGAAGTCGTCAAAGGCATATTCTTTCCCCTGCCTTTGACACATGTAAAGTCTTTCTCTCGTATTCTGATTCAGGATGGTACGGACTCACAGCTGACGAAATAATGTGAAATGTGAAATAAGAGAAACATTGTTGAATGTTTTTTGATTAGTCGTTTAGTCTTTGAGATGGTCTAGGTACCTGTTATATACGAGAAGATAGAGAAAATTTTTCTCTATCGATCTGTGTTTTTGATTTTTTTTTAAGTGGCAAGTAATGCATCAAAACATCACTGAAGTTGAGATTGTACCGCCCTCTATTCTACGTTTCTTACGTTAACTCGAGAAACTTAGTCTTAGACTCGACAAATAAATATCTACTTAATCGTTATATTCTCAAAATGTCCTGAACATTAACCTAGAAAACCTAGAAAAGTGTTTAAATGCGTCCCCCAATCAGTATATTTCCGCCATTGATTCGATGATTCATCAGTCTATGAGAACATACCAGGACAGGGGTCATCAGAAGTGAACCAAACATGTAAACCAAAGGCAATAGGATCACTTCATATAGAAGTTACGAACCAATCAAATAAAAAGTCCATATAATATAGCACTCTAAACGATGCGTTTCTGTTTTTATCAATTCAATTGAAATATATAAATGAAATAGAGCTAACATTAAAGAAAAGAAAACTACTTTAGAACTAATTATCATTCCCGTATTTTTTTTCACATAATAATCTTCAGTTAGTTTTTATTGAAATATTTTGAGCATTATTATATTACTTGAAGATTAAAAATTAGTTTTTTAATAAATTTTAAAAGAAAAAGTTGATTTTTCTTGATAAAGTAAAGATTAATCAAAGGATCAATACGATTTTGTGAACTCTTTGCTTCAGTATATTCTCCAGTATATACAAAACGTTTAATAAGACAACTTAATCTTTTTTATTCGTTTTCTTAATGACTATCAACATTTAAAACGAAAATAAAATCTATTTGACTGTTTTTACATGACTATCCTGCATTTTGTTTATTAAAAATATCAGTACGCGGAATCAATATAATCTGATTCTCACAAAAACCAGCAAAATAATAAAAGAAAAAGAAGAGAAATCAGAATTTGATAATTGTGCCGATATTGATGACACGGTTCGATGATTCTCCTTCCTTCTCTGTCTGTTCTCTTGCCGTTGTTCTAATATATCTCTCTCCTGTCTCTCTTCTATCTCTCTCCTATATATATGCGTATTATGTATGAAGTTGTTACACTCTGGATATGTGAAGAAGCGAATAAACATCATTGCCGAGAGTGGCGGTAAGCTACTCCACCTCTATTCAGTTTGTCATTNGTGGGTGTGGGTGTGGGTGTGGGGGTGGGTGTGGGTGTGGGTGTGGGTGTGGGTGTGGGTGTGGGTGTGGGTGTGGGTGTGGGTGTGGGTGTTTGTGGGTGTGGGTGTGTGGGTGTGTGGGTGTGTGGGTGTGGGTGTTTGTGGGTGTGGGTGTAAGTATTAGTTTCGTTTTTCCACTCACATCCCACACCTCACTCACACCCCCACACACACCCACACCCATACCCATACCCACACCCACCCACACCCTCAGCTCTTCTCTTTTCGTTTTCTCAACTTAATCACAATGTGCAAAAATTCTTGAATAGGAATACCACAATAGGTAGCGATGTCTACTATCTATTTGCACGTACTCTATTATCAGTAATGAGTTTAATAAAACGAAATCGAAGATGAAAGACCGAAATTTAAGATAAAATTCAATATTAGACCGTGGATCATGTGCGAATGTGAATATACGTCAAGAAAGGAATCACTCTGCATTCGATATCTATGCATATATTAAATGAATTGAGGTAGAAATGATTTGCATTAACATGGTGCCAATATTCGAGAAAAAAGAATTCTTTATCTTTTACGGTACATCAATATCTCCATCTGAATCTGCTACTTGCAATTGAATTTGTACTGAAAACTTCTTCGCTCGATTCCTTACAGACTTTTATCAATAAGTTCAAGGTTTTAAAAAGATTTATATTTAGTTGTTGTCAAGTTTGATAAATATTTTAAAATATTCTTTTGAAATATCAAATCAAATTCTATCTGTAAGTGTTAGTTAACATGTAATTAGGTTTGTTCTTCGGAATATTTTAGAAAACAATATTAACGCCACTTAAAATAAAAACAGCAGTTTCTCATCATTTTATACCACCTTTTGGCATACGAGTGTGGGTATGGATTGGTGTGTGTGTCTCGGTTGATCTTCTTGCCATACCCACATTCATACATCCAGACTGACATCGTTGTCAAGTATACATTTTAGTGTGAGACAGTTTCACACCTTATAGCGAAATCATTTCGATGATCATATCAATAAATATTGTCTGAAAATTATTGTGATCTGTCCAAGAGCAGATGCCAATTGTTCATCGAGACATGAGCATGGTCTATTCGGTAGCCATTTGCCTAGATGTACTTTTGAACTTAGTATATATAGTGGAAAGATACAGAACGCGTTGCGCTATATCGTATATTTACAATCAATAGCATATAGAATTTCAAGAATGAAAAAGAGACTTTTTTTGATTCTACAATGTGCTATGACCTTTGGCCTAGAATAACAAAGATCTAGTCTTATTATTGTGGTCGATGATCATGTACATCGATGTTGTCAACAAGCAAATCAATTCAACTGAACACATGACTAATTGATTTTCAAAACGATGATTCCAGTGTGAATATGAGAGTGGTTGAGAGAAAAACCTACACTGATGCTCGAAAATCCGTTCAAAGAATACAGATTTTTTCCGAAGATACAGTTGAGATCTTATTGCAATCTAATCAATATCTAGATACCCATATCTCACTTGCTGCCACTTTCGAACGAAAACCAACAGATAAATTCATATCCTGATAAAAATCTTGATATATAGATGAGAGCAAGAATTAATATCTAGATTAATCTAAGATGTGTACTAAAGTTATTTCATTCAGCACTTTTTAAATTATTAGGTATTGAACGAAATAAGGGTTGTTAACAACCTAAATCATTGTTCACTTCCGGTATTTCCAGTCGTGAATATATTGATCAACACTATTATTCTTTTGTATTTGCTATGACATTTTGTTTTTCTGCAAAATTTAGTGCAAAAAAAACTTTCTATTCAAGCTGTCTGTTTTGCTAAATACTCTCTAAAGTCCTTCTGACGACAAGTGGAATAACATGAAATGCAGAAATATCTTAGTTTTACATTTGCCTAAAACCATATATTAAAAAGTAATCAATTAATTTGTGCTTTTTCTTCGCTCTCTTCAGAAAACCAAGAAATCACGTATTCATTGAACAGTATATTTCATCAAAGCATCGAAAGATGAGCTTTGTCCATATTTGGCATAGATAAATACATCTTTTGATCCGACTTTGATATGTCTTTGCAGAATTGGATTTTTATAACCTTCATTATTGAGCAATTGTGAATCAACGGTCATATTGATACTTTTTGCACCTGGAATGACACAATGAATTGGAACAATAGACTCTTTCATTAAGATCCCATCTATCGGTGTATAGATTTGACATTTTTCGGTTTGAAATTTATGATAAGTAATAGGAAACTTCATTGATCGTTGAAGTTTCTTCACATTTAGATTGAATTTGACTACTGGATTTAATGAAGATTTATTATCATTATTTTTTTTCGAATATACAATAAGTTCATGTTCACCTATTCGTTCAGGTGCAAATAAAAGTTGCCAAAGTTTTTTTTCATGATTAAATTGAGCTAATGATCCATTTTCAATTTTAACATTATCATATTTGATATCACATGAAAGTTGAATATCATCAGGTGCTTGTATAAAAATTTCAGTGTACGTTGCATTATCAGACCAATAAGCGCTTGAACGATTTCGCGGTGATTCAATTCTAAGATCAAGATCATGAAAGAGTTGCCATGTGGAAGGATATGATATGGATGGTAATGGAATCCGTTGAGCTTCAATTTGGAACGCCACAGCAGATGTATAAATTTCAGGATCAGTTTTTTTCTTAGTCATAATAAGTGCTTCGAAAAGACCATTTCGATCAGGTGCAAATTTACATCGCCAGATAACTTTTCGTCGATCATAATAAACTTGTTCGCCACCGGTAACTTTTTGCTGTCTTTCATTTTGAAGATGTCCACGAAGTTCAATATTTTCGGGTGTTTTTATTAGAATTTCTGAATACCTATCTCCATTATCAAGTTTAATTAGATATGTATTTCGAGGAGAGATCACTTCCAAATCGAAGTCAAAAAAGTTCTTCCATACTTTTGGAAAGCTAATTGGATTTTTTAGTATTTGTTTCACATCAAGTACAAGGCTGAATACTGATCTGTAGTCGTCTGTAAATGAATTACCTCTTTTCCCATAAAGATATATTTTATGTCTACCAATATTTCTTGGGGCAAAATAACTACGAGTAATCTGTTGACGTTTATCGAGCATAATATAACTACCACCATCAATAACTTGATTGTTTAATTTTAAATCTGTCGTGAGATGGACATCTGAGGGCACTTTCAGAAGTACTAGAGCATATGATCTACCAGGAATAAGATGGAGATGAGATCGGTTACGTGGACTAACTATTTCAATATTTAAATCAAAGTAAAGAGGATGAAAGTGAGGTATTTCTAAATATTGTGCCATTTTTATTGGAGTTTGTAATAATTGCCATTGATCATCATTAGGTAAATGATGACAGATCATTTCATTAGGACGTGATAAAAAATAATATGAATTTGGTTCATGTTGAAAAATATTCTGTTCATTTACATATCCAGCACCCCATGTTGATTCTATTAAATACCAATGCTGATCAATCTCAACAGCATTCCATTTATGATCACTTTTAGTAGGAATATCAATGTGATTTTCAAATTCATGACCTTTTGCATATCCACTGATTATTTGACATGACATTTGTAATTGATCACATAAATATTTATATAAATTAGCATATCCAACAGAAATAGCTTTTCTTTTTTGAAATACTTTTTCTGGTGATTGGTCACTACATTTGCCATGTATAAATGGTACAATATCATACTGAATGTTACGGACAATCCAATAAAATATAATCCAATGAATGTCAACAATTGATTTTCCAAAGGAAAATGCCTTAATGATGTCTGTAAGCTGTTGAAGAGATTCTGGTTGGGATGATTCTATAGTTAATTGGTAAGATCGATTGTCTATTGCTTGTTGACGTTGTTTAACAAATGAAGTATTGAATGCTTGTGGATCAGCAACTAGAATTGGAATATGATCATCTCCACTAGTTAAGTTACAAATTATAGCATCATCATCAGCTATAGTTTTCAGTGAAAATATAGAATCATTCTTGTTATAATCATTATCATCACCATCATATTTAAGATATTGATCTATTGATTGATATGTTACACTAACTTTACTATGTTGACAACCCATCCTTCATTTTCACTCAATAAAAAGTTTGTCAAACAAAATAAAGAAAATTTTTTGTTCTTTGTTTGACTTTGATTTCTCATACTTTTATCTTAGGTTGCATTTAATGGCAAGAAGAACCTTACGTGGTTTGTTAGTTTTAGTTGGCAATGCTTTTAAAACAGGGTAAACAATGTTATAAATATAAAAATCACTATGAAAAGGCAGCAAAGAATCGCAACAATGAGTAATAAAAGTCATCAGTATTTTTCTTTCATTTAAATACAAGGTTTACAAGATGTTTTTTAATGTCAATTAGTATGCAATTAGTAGAGTCAAGAACTATAACAAATGCAATTCTGAAACATGTGAGAAAAAAATTGTCAATACAGTTTTAAATAATGTGCAACATGAAACTTGTATCTCTCTCAATTTCATTGTAGTAATTGAAGATATGCGAAATGAAAAAAAAGATCCTATCAAATAACAGAGACTTCCTAAACATAATGAATTGTCATAAAAACGATGTGTCTTATTTATTTATTGTACTTCACTTTGCACAGCTTTTTCTTTTGTTGATTTCGATGCTCGTAAATTATAATTAGTTGTCTTCATCTTACGATTGGTTGATCTAAAACATTATTTTGTTTTGTATATTCGTTCAATTTCTCAGAAGTGGAAGAGTGTGACTGTGAGTATGAACGTGAGTGTGAGTGTGTGTATGAATGCAGTCGTGAGTGCTGCCCCCTTCCGTTTTAACTCCCATACCTTAATAACTGTGATTGTAGAATATTTAGAAAATGTCTGATTCAATTATTCGTAGCTTACAATAAAAAGATTGATTTGGGATGAAGCTTTCTTCGAACATAGGAAAAAAAATATGTTTTTCAAGCGATGGGTAAAACATAACATATTGGTGGAATCATTCAGCTATACTATTAGTAGCGTCCACCCTTACAATGTGTCTTTTATCTTCCATCCTCTGTGCTTGCTTGTTGTTAATTGTCTTTTTCTCTTCGATCTTTGCACAACGCATATCTATATATACTCATGTTTTTGTGGTGAGGATGAAATTTCAATTTTTGTGTGTATGATCGTGCATGTTTAAAAAAAATATGTCGAAAGAGGAAATCTTTAAAATATGCTTATCAATTATATTGAATCCAAAAGTCTCTGTTTAATGAATATGTATTATTTGATCATCAAAATTTCTTCACGCATGGATCGGTATGAAAACGGAATATATATAAATTCGATAAATGTCTTGAAATAAATTGTTCCGATTGGAAACAGTTCAAAAGATTTTCATCATAATGAATATTCCTAGATTTGGCCATTTTTACCGATAATGTTCTCAAGTGTGTGTCGGGGTGTGGGTGTGAGTGTGTGGGTGTGGTTGTGGGCGTGGGTGTGGGTGTGGGTGTGGGTGTGGGTGTGGGTGGGTGTGTGGGTATGGGTGAGGGGTGTGGGGTGTGGGTGGGGTGTGTGGGTGTGGGTGTGGGTGGGTGTGAAGGGCGGGGGTGGGGGTGGTGGCAGGTGGAGAGTAGAAAGANGGAGCTGTATTTCCAGGTGTATAAAATGTTGATCGAGCATTCGTAAAACAAAAAATAATATTATTACGAGCTGTTGGATCAAGATGAGAAAATAATTGAATAAGACATGTACGAAAAAAGATATTTAATCTTGATGCATTTGGTTTAAGAAGAAAACAAATAGCATTCAAATGTGTAAGATTATTGATATATTGTAAAGTATGTTCCATATTTCGATCATCCTGATCAAGACCTCGTGTATCACCAAAACCAGGTGTATCAATAATTCTCACTTTTCTTTCATTACCATTATTAAGAGCAAATACATAAGATTTACAATGTTGTGTTACAGATTGACCAATAGTGTTGAAATTTTCATTGTTAAAACTATCGACTTCACCAAATTTGACTATTCGTTCTTCAAAATTATCACCAATCGTCATGGTAAATGAAACAGGAATAATTACAATGGGTTCACTTGATTCTGCTTGCTCAAATGAATTGAATATGAGATAGTTAGCGAAAGCATTGATAAAGGTTGATTTACCCACTCCTGTTTCACCAAGAAGAAGAATATTAATAGTATCATCATTTGGTAATGGCGATGATGAAGATAATGATGAAGTTGAAGTTTCAGGAGCACTAACTTGAGAAGATAGTCTCTGCTTTGGATGATTTTCACTATGATCGACTTCATTCGATGGTAGTATCACCATGTCATGTAGGGGAAATGAAGAATAAGAAAAATCAGCATAGACAAGGCGTAACTCCGAGTTGCTCTTACATTCTTCAGATAATGTTCGACGCAGATCGGTTAATTTTGAGCGATTGTTTTTGTTTAAAATATCGTTAGAACAGAGAATCTGATTACGGCGATCATTGCTTATCAGTATGCGTTCAACCGTTTTCATATCATTTCTTTTGTCGATGTTATACTCAGCTGCATTCCAATATTCAAATTGTCGCTGCCGCAAACTTGTGATCAAATATCCTTTTTTTTCTAAGTCGGTTACATTCTGAAACAATTCATTAACATCATTTCTCAACATTACTTGTACAGTATCACAGAGTGCTTGATCAATTTCGAAGACTTTTTCAAGACCACTGCGGGCATCGATTACTAATTTAGAAACTCGTTGAATATTGCTCGTATATTTATTTTTCAGACTACACCATTGAATATTAGCCTTCTTAAGTTGCTCTGGGAGATGTCCACACAATAACTTCGGTATACATTCATTTAGAGACGCATCTAAATATTGTATTGGGTTTCTTAACTGAAGTAAATATTGTTCGATTTTGTCTTTGAGTGAAGAGGATAACAGTCTAAATTTGTCAGCTTTTCTCGCATGTAACGGATACAACGAGTTAAAAGTTGTTTTTCTATTTGAAGGATATAGCGTTGTAACCAGTCGAAGAGTATAACTGAATGGATGACGACAATCTGAATTTTTCTTTTTGATTTTATTGATTTGAGAAAAAACATCAGAAACTTTGGCTAAACTACTTAAGCTAGGTATATTTGAGTAAATTTTTATGTTGAAAGTTTTTCCAAGTAAATCGTTTTCCTCAGCCGTAAGTTTCAAAATACTGTTTTCTCCTCTCAGAAGCTCATTTCGAATTTTTTCAAGCATACGATCGATCTTATTGGCAACGGCATCTTCTATTGGCAACTGTAGAACGACAACAATATCGATTCCGAACGTTATTGAAGTAATCATATGAGTAGCATTAGGTTCAAGACTCTGTGTTTTCATGTTTTCTAGGACGTATACCCCTTTTTCGAGATATTGTTGTTTACCACGAGTCCAAGAATAGTATAAGAAGCGAGTGTATTGATATATACGATGAGGATATAGAAGAATTTTCGCTACTCCAGATATTTTCGCTAAGTTCAACAATAAACTTAATCGTAATTCCTGTTGAATATCAATACATTCAAGAATATTGAAGTTTACGTCCGCATTACCCTTTATAAGCTTACATTTTACCGGTACAGATGACTTTAACCATTGTCCTTTACAGCTCGAGTTTGTTTGACCAATTATTTGATCTCGGCTTCCATCATAGAGAGAACCAAGACAACCGACTGTATTGGTAGCCTTACGCTCAATGACGTCAGTTGCTAGTTCTATTGAAGTTTTACTAACTGATTTTGCCATAATCCACTTCGTCAATGCCAATCACTAAAAATATCATTGAACACAAATGCATTGGATTCCTGTAATTAAGAGCGAGTTTCGTAAAAAAGCCTAATTCCATGTAAAGTGAGATGAAAATATGAATCAAAGAACATCATTTATTTAGGTTTCAGAGATAATAGCGCAGTTGTCTTTATAGTAATCTCTAAAAACACTATCGAACTTTTCAATGAGCCACTATCTTTGTTTCGGACGTATCTGCGGCAATATATTTATCAATGGAAAATTAGTTTTTTCGACGACGATATATTCTCAAAAGAGCATTTGTATATGAGAAAGAATAAATAAATCATAATTGTTTACAATTATAATTTTTTTATTTGAAAAAACAATTGTACCATTTTCGTATTGTCACCCTTACAAATGTTGTAATAATCAGTTTTTTTTTCAATCTCTATTGACAGACCTGAAATGAAATTAATAACACAAAGGAAAGCTTAACTTTTGAAAAAAAACGAACTTGGAATTTTATTCTAATAGTTATTGCGAAATATTTCAATAAGTTCTTATATCTAGTAAATTAGCGCCCTCACTACCTTACCAGGTGCATATCTTTACATCGGTTTGTTTGTCAACACCTTTAATATTAAGAGACTTGAAGAAAGGTGTGCTGTTTAGACTTCAGCTAATATCATTGGGCAAATATGCGATTCTGTTCCTTTCTAGACAGATAAGCAATGAGAAAAAAATAATAAAACTGTAATTTTATTACAAGGTCTTTGAAGGAACGACAAAATCCTTATCTAATGCAAAGAGAAAGTGTGCTGCTTTTGCAGTTGTGTACTAATTGTTAAATAGTTACGAATTTTATAATTTGAATATTCGACTTTTCAACTATTCAGCTAGTGAAACTCATTAGTCGAATATTCCGGTGTGCCTCTTCTCTCAGCCGACTTAGTACACACCTACACTTTAAAGATTTTATTTTGTTATTCTATGAACAATAGGTTTAGCTTTCTAAAACTATTGAACTTCATTGATTTTTTATTTAAAAAAATATATCAACCAGCTGCATATCTAATGTTTATTTGTCTTTATCTTCTATTTCACTAAAAAGTGATCAGTTTCTCAAGATAGAAGATTACCCTATTCACGTGAACTTTCAAGATGGTGTTCGTCCTTGAAGAACTTAATGGAAATGAATGAATTCGATTCAGTAGACAATCTAGCAAGTCATAGCCTTTTCACGTACATTCTTACGACATGAAAATATCCCTTTGTATATCTGTTCCTTTCTTTTTATCAAGTTAAACGATATTTACGGATATTAAAGCTTTCATGTTTTTGAATCGATAACTACGAAAAAAAGAAAAACACATATTTTTCAATAGGATTTAAATATCAATGATTTTTATCATTAAAAAAATACAAATGATGCATTTATTAAATATTTTGTACTTCATATTCGTATTCTTCAATTATCATTCGCTGTCTTTGCTTAACAGTTATCATCTGTTCACGAACTGTAGGATAATTACTGATGATCTTAATTAATTCATATACAGCTTGCACATCGAAATTTTCTTTGGTTGATTTCAATTTGTTCATATGTTGTTCATATTGACTTTCAAGTTTTGACAATTCTTGAACCAATTGTATATTGAAATCATTTGATTTTTGAATTTCACAGATATATGTTTCTTCAACAATCATTTCTTCCAAACCATTCAAAAACGGATCATCTTTTGTAGAACAAGCTGTATAAATGAGAAAATGAGCTAATTTAGCACTCGCATGACACAGCGTATTTCGTATATTGCCAATTCCATTTTGAAAATCACTCGAAGTTTTACTCGAACATTTATAATCGAGCATATAATCGATTGGAACATGTTGGTCGAGAGTACACTTGCACATGAGACATTCATTATGAATTTCATGTAAACTAGTTGATAAAATCCAAAATGTACCAACTTCTTGTAAATCACCTTTACAAGAACGACAACGACTAGCTGTAAAATGAAGAGGATTCGAATTTAGTTCAATGAGTTGGTTCGTTAGTTTCTTCTTGCATAATATAATATTACGAAGAATATTTCTCATTGTTTCTAATATTGGACGAATCATATAAGAAATTTCAAATTGAGCATGTTTAATTGATTGCCATCCTTTGTCTACATGATATACGGTGCGTGCTTTATTAATGTAATCAATTAAACGATTAGATTCTTTTACTGAAGTTGACCAACTCATTTCATATTCATGTTTTTCTTCATGAGTGAACGAAATTCGATTTCGTAGAGCAACTAAATATCGAAATGATTCATTATCAAAACAAAATGTATTCTCTTTTTTAAAAGCAATGTCACTCATCGAAGATGATGCAAGCATCGTTTTGAGTAATGGAGCTGTATTTCCAGGTGTATAAAATGTTGATCGAGCATTCGTAAAACAAAAAATAATATTATTACGAGCTGTTGGACCAAGAAGAGAAAATAATTGAATAAGACATGTACGAAAAAATATATTTAATCTTGTTTCATTTGGTTTCAGAAGGAAACAAATAGCATTCAAATGTGTAAGATTATTGATATATTGTAAAATATGTTCCATATTTCGATTATCTTGATCAAGACCCCGTGTATCACCAAAGCCAGGTGTATCAATAATGCGTATCTTTCTTCTAAATTTTTCATCAGTATGCTTAAGATCAAATATATAAGATTTACAATGTTGTGTTACAGATTGACCAGGATGATTAAAATCTTCATCATTTGAATAATTCACCATATCACCAAATTTGACTATACGTTCGTCAAAATTATCACCAGTCGTCATAATAAATGAGACAGGAATGAGTACGATAGGTTGATTTAACTGTACTTGTTCGAGTGAATCGAATGCAAGATAGTTGGCTAAAGCATTGATAAAGGTTGATTTACCAACACTAGTTTCACCAAGCAGAAGAATATTGATAATTTCATCAGTGGCTGGTAGTGTTCGAGGTTTGTAATCTTCTTTGACTGATTGTTGTATTAGTGGTTCTCTGCGGGGTAGTGAAACAGAAGTTTGTAAATTCTTGAATGATGGGTATGATTTCTGGATTGATAAATCTTTGTTATTATTGGATGATAAAATGTACATGTTATATAGTTTGTAGGAAGAATAAGAAAAATCAGCATAGATAAGACGTAAGTTAGGATTTTGCTTTTTTTCTTGCATCAAATAAAAAAGTAATTTATTGAATTGTTCTCGATTCCGTTGGTTCAAAGTATCATCCGAACAGAGAATTCGATCGCGATGATCAATCTCAATTAATTTAGTTTTGATGGTATGTTCATTATCATATTTATTTACATCACGTTCGACGACATTACAATATTGAAAATTTTGATTTAATAAATCATTTATTAGATTAGCTTTCGCTTCTAAATCATTTAGATTGTGAACTAATTCATTATGCTCATTTTTTAATGTAACTTGTTCTTTGTTGATTAATGCATTGTTGATAACAGATATTTCCATTTGACCGTTGCGAACACCGATTAATAATTTCGATAATTGTTCTATTTCGAGTAGATATTTCTTTCTCATATGTAAACATTCCTTATATGCATTACAAAGTTTTCCTTCAAGATATCCCGATAAGAAGTTTTGAAGATTTTTCGGAAAAGATCTCGTAAAATTTATTATCATTGTTCTTCTATCAAGGACGTATTGTTCGAGATTATTATTGAGTTCTGAAGGTAGTATATGAAATTTGACATTATTTCTCATATGTTGAGGATATACTACTGCAAGTGGTTGAAGATAATATGTTATCGGAGGATAAGACTTGGACTTCTTGATTATTTGTAGTTTATGAAGAAGTTGAAATATGTTATTCAAAGCAGTTAAATCAGATATGTTTGAGTAAACTGTGACATTGGTAATTTTTCTAATTTGATCACTTTCTTCAGTAGTTAACAGTGAAACAATTTCATTATCATTAGATAGAGACCTACTAATTTTTTGAAGTATATGATCAATTCCAGGAATGAGACCAGTTTCTGATGGTAATTGTAAAACAACAAGAACATCGATTCCATAGTTAACTCCAGTAATTATGTGAGTAGCAGGAGTTGTAGACTTTATTGAATCGATTAATTTCAAGTTTCGTATGCCTTCATTTGATACTTGCTCTTCTCGGTCAATCCAGGAATAATATAAAAACCGTGTATATTCATTTATTCGATAAGAATTATTTAAAATTGCAGCTATTCCAATCTTTGGTGTTAAATTCAATAATAAACTCAGTCGTAAATCATTTTCAATGTCAATAGTTCGAAGAATGTTACGACCTGCATCTGAATTACCCTGTATAACTATGCATTTTGCTGATCCAGATGATTTGAACGATTGTCTTTGAACATTCCTATTATCTTGTACAAGTAAATAATCTCGACAACCATCATAAAGTGATCCGAGACATCCAAATGCATTAATAGCCTTTCGTTTTATAACATTTGCTGATGAGTTATCTGATAATACCATTGAATTCTTTGGTAGCATAACAACAATCAATAGATACTATGTAAAATTTTTTATCTAAAACATCAATAAGTTTCTTTTTTACGTGAATGATTGTTAAAAAATGCCAATAAATTAGCAACCTATTCGAGATCAGATTTTGAAATAGGTTCTCATAAATTTTAAATTTTACGAACTTTTCACTAAATAATTTTCAAATTCCAATGTTTATAATTTCTTCTTTCAAATATGCTTTTTTAGTCAATGTCACGTATAACGTACTTGATTAAATGAATTACTAAAATCAATTTTCAAGTCTAGAGAATATACATTTATTCCTTTAAGAGTTCTTAACGACTTTACTACGTAGTATAAATAATCTCTTTAGAGTTTTATATAGAAAAGAAAAGCAGTAAGTATATCTTTCTTTTTTTTTTGTTGAAAAATTGACTTACCATTCTGTAACTACCTACCTGGTCAACATCAGCTTATATATTCCTTTTCTTTTTCAAAAGTAATGCATTTAAGTTTGCTTATATTAAATGTAACAAATATTATTTAACCTTGAAAAATGTTTGTTCACTTTACTGTTAAAAGAACGAAAAAAAAAAAATTGATGAAGTAAATGAAAAAAGTTTAAATACAGGAAAACAAAAAAAAACACTTCTTCCCAATGCAGAAAAATAATTGTTTTCAATATCA